ATTCCATTTGAGGACTGCGAGAGGAGCAAAAGGAAGAGCAAAAGTCAACAAGAAAAAAAACCAGAGGGATAAAAGGATTAAAACTAGAATCTCAATTGTGGTTGCGATGTTCAATATTTGCTCTACGTCACCATTCCACCCGTGTTATGGATCTGGTGAACTACCTCGGCCATTTGAAAATATATATCCACCCGATCGCTATCAGGTACTCCGTATAAAAAGATCTCTTATTGAATCTACCCTAGGTATTTCCAAGAAGTACAAGAAGATAAAGACTGGATTAATTATCGAGAGTCTTATCAAAGATGTTTCATTCAGAAATAAATAATGTATTCATCCAACGACCGTCATATAACATACAGAGTGTAGCAGGCTGAATAATCATGTAATTTTTTTTCCCGGTGCCTGAGGCTGCAGCAGCACAGCTTATCATCAACACCTTAAAGTTCAGGCACGTGAGATGATCATCATCAATTAGAGTTATCGTCGGATGGATGATGCTGTTTGACTCGGCAAAGAAGACTATAAGGTACCTGTTCTACTCAGTACTTTAGAGTCATTCAAAGAGGAGAAAAGATTGGAGATTTGAGGGTTCATATTCTCTGTTCATATGGACGGATTCAATAGTCGATTCAATTTGACTCTTGTAATAGCTACCTTCCAACCACCCTCTAAGCTAAAGTTTCTAGTAACCCCCTGTGGCATGATTCCATGACAGGGTGGCTCACCACAGACTACCAAGCAGTGGAATGTCACCTCATTGACTGTAGAGAAGAGAAACCCTGGAACGGAAGAGAGACTCGACAGCCTTGACCGCATTCGCCCTCCATCAGGTTCCCCGGATTGAGAGTCACCTTACGTCATCCGCCCTCCCCAAGCCTTGAACAGCACAAGAGAGTAACTGGGGGTGAAATAGCTAGCCGGAAGCGGTTGATAGTAAGTGGTGAACGATAGTCGCAGCGATGATCTCTACGGTGTGGAATTAAGCTGTGTTGGACCTCTATCTCGCTGTCTCCTTTTTCGACCATTACTTATTTCTTCCATTACTACGATTATTATTATTACTAGTATAATTATCTTGATTATCATCTTATACTCATCTATTACTACTGCGCCTATCGTCGTCATTAGGGTGGAGAGACTGACAATTGCAACGGATTGGTTGCCTCCCAGATCTTCTCCCTTTCTGCCTCTTATCAACCACCTCTTAACCTACCCTGCCCATCAGACCTTTTCCTTGGGCTGCTTTTCTCCTTGTTCGGTCTTCGTACATATATTGTGTTGCCAGTCGGATCTACAACGGTGGTCATCCTTGATAGCATCGCATTTAACAATGTCACGCGTGTCTTGAGATTACCAATTCATGATGACTACAGATTCAGCACTCTCGTGAGTTCCCGATCAGCTGATGGCATCGCCGATTCACCGTCCAAGCGCTAATGTGGCCCGGCCAAACTAGGTACCATCCCACCGACTCCCTGATCCTTCCGACCAAACGACGCTTCTTCCCTTTTAGAATTCCCAACTTGTCTGTCCCCTAGTGCCACCGTCAGATCTCCGAGGAGGCGCTGGCGTGAGCTGACGATCATGCAGTCATCTCCAGCTACACCATTACATCAGTACCGCCGACCCCGATAGGATCTACGCCGTCGTCGACCGAGTCGTCTATGCAATCCACATATCGGCCCGAAAACGAGAGACAATAGCCGTGATTCCGTTTGAGCCAAGATGTCTTGCCGCTGGATACGGCTGGATTGGTGTGGGGGGCTCCGATAATGGGGAGTGCGCTTTCATCGAGATCGCCGATCGGGGGGTGCGCGTTCAGGAAGAAACGCCGGCGCCACAAGGTTCAGATGTGGATAGTACACTTCCGATCGACCTCGAGTCGCCTCTAAGGGCATCTTCCGGACCAGCCGATCCAGAAAGGGCGTCGGCCCGCGACGCCGGTCGGAGGCCATTGCCGGATGTGCAGCTGCACAAGTTCGGCGGCAGTATTGTTAATTCAGTGACGGTGCATCGTATACCGGGCGACGATAAAGCGTTGGCAGACGAGGACTTTATGGTCCTGAGGTATGATAGAAACTTGGTTCTATCGGTATCAGACATCTGCTAATCGATTTTCGACCTGTAGCAATAATGACAAAACGGTCACCGTGTACTCGTTGACACGCTCCAAAGTTCTCAAGGTTCTGCACCATCCTTATTACATGAACTATGCGATCATGTCGCCCGATTCGAATATGCTCGTCGCGGTTGGAGACGAGCCCCGTGCGTATTTCTACGACGTTACCCGCGACTTTGGAACCACTGTTCGGACAGACAACGGCCAAAAGCTTACTGGCTGGAAATTCGACCTTCTGCGCAGTGTAGAGATGGATACTGGCGGCACGCGCTTCGATGACGGATGTTGCTTTACGATCGCGTTTTCCCAGTTCAGCCGACACTGCGCTATTGGGTCGCAGTCGGGCGTCATCACTGTGTTTGATGTCAAAACGCTGCGCGATGTTGTCGGAGAGCCAGAGGGGAGGAACTCTGTGATGTGCAACTTCAACTCGTCCCGGCTTTATTGCAATGGTGGTGCTGTGCGTTGCATGGAATTTGCTCCCGAGCCTTGGGATCTTTTGGTCTGGCTCGAGGACAAGGGTCGAGCCGGCATTGCCGATGTTCGCCAGGCATTTGCGCGCAGGCAGGTCCTTCAGTTGGACTTCAACGACCCAGAGGTTGAAGAAGTCCGTACGGAACCGCTTTTAGATGATACCATAGGGCTGGGGCTCGACCTTGATGGTCGACCGATTCTTGAGCCGCGTACTGAAATGGACGCAACAGAGCGGGCAGTTCTCGATACTTTGGAGAGCTCACCGAATGAACCAGGAGATGGGACGCCAGACCACCCGCTACTGCATGATTCTTTGGTACAAGATCTCACCGAAAGGGAGAGGCTGATTGTGGAATTCTTGAATACCGCACGCTGGTCATCGAGGCTGGAAGAAGGGTTGACAGAGCGGCGGCTTGCTAGAAGCAATGTCCACCCGCCTCCTGCACCTCGGCCCCGATTTCAACCTAGCACAGACAATCCCAGTCGACCTTCTCGTCCTACAACGCCGCCTCGTTCCGGGGACAGCCCCCGTGACCCATCAGGCGCAGGCCCTTCTGCGGCCCGTCCAGGGGCCGGTGATCGGCGACCGGGCGGAAGAAATCAACACGCTGGAGCGCCACCGCGAAGTGACGTTGAGTCCGATAGCCAAACACCGGAGACGGCGGGCTCCCAGACTGACCCCCAGCCAAGTATTACACTTAGCTGGACTGCTTCGCCCTCAGAATTGCAGGGTACCACGCTGGAGGTGCCGCCGCGCGCCGCTGATCCGTCCTCGCGTGATACGAGCAGTTCCAGCAACGAAAGTAGCGACGGAAGTCGTCCCTCCGTGAACTTTGATTATTCAAACACCACCCCCGACCTTTTCACTAGGACAAGGGCCTTCTACCAGCGAGATCGACAGGATGCCACCCCTGAGCCTAGATATGAGTCGCCACGTTTGTCAAACTCGGAGCTCAGGACAAACGTGGCCGCGGAGCGTATCCGGCGGCAGCGTCAGATCATCAACGAAGCGCAAAGTCGACATCTCCAGCGCGAGCAACGATATCGACAGCAGCTTATGGGCTTTGACCAGTCCCGCGCTCCTCGGTGGACCCGGAGCGCCATCAACGAAGTTTCTGGTAGAGGTCTGGGGGCTCTACACAGAGATCAAGATTCCGGGAGCACCGCTGGGCTTGGCTGGGGCGCAGATGGGAGAACCTTGTAAGTCTAACATTTCAGATAGGAAGAGACGATGACTGACTTGACCCCAGATATGTCGCAACCGTGGACGGTATCTTTGAATTCCAGGTCAATATCTTGGATCGGAAAACGTTCCCTACCATCACTTATCGCTAAAGGGTACTCCATGTGCTAGTACTGCATGGTCATTTAGTCGCTACCAATTTGAAACTCGACTGATCCCCTTACGACTTCAATGCTTGCAGTTTTTTGAAGTGATGTACCGGCCCTTTCCCGAGTATTCTTGGGTTGATAAGGCCTGATTAACACTGAACTGATTGGGTCATTGGCGTTCAGTATTGTTGTTCACCCTATCATTTTGCAAGGCTTTGCTTCTTTCTTTCTTTCTTCTTGTTGTTTTGTTTCTTTTTTTGGACATGCATTAGCTCGTCATCTTGGGAGCGTTTTTTTTTTTTTTGCACGGTCGGGTTCCTCTTCCAGGTTGCATATGTCTGTGGCGTCGGGGTGGGTTTAACGCGAGGGCGGGTCATAAAGGGATCATCATAATCAGGTACATGGGCATGGAATAAAAGTCTAGGTTTTGTCTTATCTATATTGAGCATTCGTAGACCTGTGTTGTTGGTATGGGAAGGATGCATGCTGAAAAGCACAGAAGGGAGGGGAAAAGTTACTAAATAGACTGGTGAGCTACGCGATTCAACATTGAGACCCAGAAAATGGATATTCCTACGTGTACCTGAACAAAGACCACCCCAGACGAAAAATCGATCGCAAGACCCTGTAGAAGTGAATGTTATTAGCTAGCTACCACGTTAAGAGAGTCAAGGCGGTAGCTCAAGCTGAGTCCCCACACGACGTCAGTGGTATTGTGTGAGAACCGCTGCCGCCCGCCGCTAACACGCCCGCTCTGCGAATGATGTCTGTCCCTCTTCTGTCTTTCCTTCCTTCTGCCAACCAGTTGGCACTTCTACCCCTCCTGCTTTGTCCGTTTTCATAACACTATTTTGGCTTCTATAGGATAGAATCGAATTACCTATTGGTTGCCATCTTCCTGTCTGGGGCGCTCAGCTGAGGTCGTGTCGTATCGCCCCGCAGATCCTGAGTCGACTTCCGAGAAACAGACCACTGCACTGGTGGGATCAAAGCTCTGCTTGGGCGTGGAGTGTCTTCAATCCTCGCTCTCATATCTGTTTGAAGGTGGTTCCTACCGCTTAGCGCACACGAAATGGAGGAAACTCTCGCCTCGACTCTGGCCAATCTGAATCTGAATGCGCAGAACCTTGACGCGGCGGCCTTTGACGCCCGGATCGCCGACGAAGAGAATGGCTCGTATCAGAGCCAAGGACCTCGACAGAGGAAGCGCCAAACCGCAGCCGATTTAAAGAACGAGCTCGAGACCGAGTTTCTGTCGCCGTCATCGAATTTCAGCCCTGATTGGTTGAATCGACTCCAAAGGTGCTGCTTGCCTTTTTGCCGTTTGCTTGCTTTTGCTTGATGTGCTTGTTTCTGTTCCTGTCGCGGCCGATGGCCGTCATTTTCGTATTCTTTGTTGTTTGTGTGATGTGGCTGTGTGGGGAGGATCTGCTAGCGCAATACTTTGACATTTAATGATCGTTACTGACCGTCCATTAGGAGGTGGGATGTCTCGGCGGACTACACGGACCTCTTCGAGGTAGCACCTACTCAAACGCGAACCGTGGTCCGATTCGACCGTGAAGGTCTGGAGGGACGTGTTACCGGCTACCATGAGGTTACTGTCCCCGCCACCAGCGCGACTGCTAAGAACTCCACGTCTCTGCTCCGTCGTCCAGCCGGGCGCGCGGACTTCGTTCGAGGTGCGGCGGGGTTCTTCCCCTTTGCGCCCGGCGGATTGGAAGGAGTTGAAGCGATAGCTGAGATGGAGTCTGAGACGCAGGAGGCGGATCAGCCGAGGTTTGGCGGGAAGAATGCAGGGCTCGATCGGATTATAAACTTCGGAGCTGATGGTGGTCTTTTGGAAGAAGCGCCTGGGTTTTCGCGTGGAATTAAATTCGACGAAGCGAAGACTAAGGAAGCTGCGGAGGGTGATGAGGAAGTCGAGCACGTGCTTCAGCAAGAAGAGAGCGATTTCCCCGTGGAGCAGGATGAAGCTGCGTCGGATGTTGAAGGAGGGGTGAAGATTGAAGATGAAGGGGATGATAGCGGAGAGGAGGAAGATATTGACTCGCTATTGCCAGTTGAATTTCCCTCGTTTGAGCCGCGTGCTCCGTTGTTTGGAGGCGCCCAAAGAAAGGGAGGCAGGGAGTGGGCGCATGTTGTCGATGTCAACAAAGACATTCCCAATTTCGGCGACCTCGTCCCTGATATGGCGCGTGAGTGGCCGTTCGAGTTGGATACCTTCCAGAAAGAAGCCGTGTATCATCTTGAGGGCGGCGATTCTGTTTTCGTCGCAGCCCATACCTCAGCTGGAAAGACAGTCGTCGCCGAATATGCCATTGCTCTGGCCGCTAAGCACATGACGAAGGCGATATACACCTCTCCAATCAAAGCGCTGAGCAATCAGAAATTCCGGGACTTCAGGAACGAATTTGACGACGTCGGAATCCTCACGGGAGATGTTCAAATAAACCCGGAAGCGAGCTGCTTGATCATGACCACTGAGATCTTGCGCAGTATGCTTTACCGCGGAGCGGACTTGATCAGAGATGTCGAGTTCGTGATCTTTGACGAAGTGCACTATGTGAACGACCTTGAACGAGGTGTTGTGTGGGAAGAAGTTATCATTATGCTTCCAGAGCATGTCACTTTGATCCTCCTCTCTGCCACTGTCCCCAATACGCAGGAATTCGCCTCGTGGGTCGGCCGTACCAAGAAGAAGGACATCTATGTCATTTCAACCGCCAAACGGCCAGTTCCGCTAGAGCACTATCTCTGGGCTGGTAAAAGCAAGCACAAGATTGTAGACTCGAACAAAAGGTTCCTGGAAGGCGGCTGGAAAGAAGCGGACGACTCTATCTCGGGCAGAGACAAAGTCAAAGCCCAAAAAGCCGCCGAAGCGCAAGCTCAGTCCCAGGCCGCCAGAGGAGGCAACCAAGGAAGAGGACGTGGTCAAGCTCCCGGCAGAGGAGGCGCGCGAGGCAATGCACAGCGCGGGGGTGGTCAACGCGGCAGAGGAGCGCCATCCAACCGTGGGTCGGGGAATATCGCCCGTACAGGGCGAGGCGGAGGGCGGACGACCGCCGCCCAAGACAAGACCATTTGGGTCCAACTTGTGCAACATCTTCGCAAAGAAAACCTGCTCCCGGGGTGTATTTTCGTGTTCTCTAAAAAAAGATGCGAGGAGAATGCCGATTCGCTATCGAACCAGGACTTTTGTACTGCCTCCGAGAAGAGTTTGATCCACATGTTTATCGAGAAATCGTTGACCCGGCTGAAGCCCGAGGATAGGGTGCTCCCGCAAATTCGCCGGCTGCGCGATTTGCTGAGCAGGGGTATCGCTGTTCATCACGGAGGCCTTCTACCAATCATGAAGGAGGTTGTCGAAATCCTGTTCGCGAAGTCGTTGGTTAAGGTATTGTTCGCCACGGAGACGTTTGCCATGGGGCTGAATCTTCCCACTCGCACGGTGGTCTTCTCTGGGTTCCGGAAACACGATGGAAAGTCGTTCAGGGATCTGCTGCCGGGTGAGTATACGCAGATGGCCGGGCGCGCCGGGCGGAGAGGTCTCGATACCGTTGGTTATGTGATTATCGTGAACCCCGGTAAAGACGAGGCGCCACCGGCGGGTGCTTTGAGGAAGATGATCCTGGGCGATCCCACCAAGCTTCGGTCTCAATTCCGGCTTACGTACAATATGATTCTGAACCTGTTGCGTGTGGAAGCCCTGAAGATTGAAGAGATGATCAAGCGGAGCTTCAGCGAGAATGCCACCCAGGCTTTGCTCCCTGAGCATGAGAAACAGGTTCAACTGTCAGAGGCTAGCTTGGCGAAGATCAAGCGCGAGCCCTGCGACATCTGCGACATTGATCTTTTGGCGTGTCACGAGGCTGTTATTGAGTATGAGCGGCTTACATGTGAACTACATGTTGGGCTCCTCTCTTCTCCAGTGGGGAAACGCTTGTTCATGCCAAAGCGATTGATTGTCTACCGGAAGGTACGTGGAGGATTGCGGTTTTAGTATGATCCGTTTGCTGATTGCTGGCTAGGATGGATCACGAACGGCTGGTGTCATCATACGAGAGATCGGGGGCGGTGCTACGCCTAATATACAGGTCCTCGAGATCGGCAAGCTGAGCAGCAAGCGACACCCGAGCGACATTCTTCCCTTCCTCCCGAAATTCCGCCCCATGCTTCAGCCTCTCCCGACAAGTGCCAGCGATATGACGTTGAAGGTCTTCAAGATCCCGCTCACGGACCTGGAGTGTGTCACCAACACCGTTGTCAAACTGGGGGGTCCCGCGTGGTACCTGAATATCAAAAAAGGTCGGTTGGCTTTCCTACACGGGGGACTAGACTAGGCTTGACTAATACCGGATTACAGAAGCGGTTAAGTTTGCGGATAAAGAGTTGTCCAAGCTGTGCGCGTCGTGGGCAACCCCTGTCTGGGACGAGATTGACTGGGCTCGGATTAAGGAGCTGCAGGTGAGGGATGTTTTGGAAAAGCGACAGGCGCAGGCAACTCTGGCTGAGTCTTGTCGATGCTTGCAATGTCCGGATTTCGTGAAACATGTGAGTAGCACCCCGAGCGACTGGGCTAGGGAAGCAACAGCTAACGGCTAGCAGTTTGAGATGCAACATGACGAGTGGCATGTCAAGGAGAACATTTCGCAGCTGAAGCAACTCATGTCCGATCAGAATCTCCAGCTCTTGCCGGATTATGAACAGCGGATTCAGGTGTTGAAGGATTTGGGCTTCGTTGATGACAGTTCTCGCGTGCAGCTGAAGGGCAAAGTGGCGTGTGAGGTATGTTGCGTATCCATCTAGAGAGCGGGACTAGTCTAGATGCTAATGTGGTGCACACAGATCCACTCGGCAGACGAGCTCGTGCTAACAGAATTAATCCTCGAGAACGTCCTGGCCGAGTACGAGCCCGAGGAGATAGTCGCCCTCTTATCAGCGTTCGTCTTCCAGGAAAAGACCGAGAACGAACCCACCCTCACCCCCCGTCTCGAGAAGGGCAAGAAAGCCATCGTGCGGATCTCAGAGAAGGTCAACGACTTCCAGATCCAACACCAGGTGATCCAGTCCAGCGAAGACAGCAACGACTTTGCCAGCCGGCCGCGGTTCGGCCTGGCGGAGGTAGTCTACGAATGGGCCAAGGGCATGTCCTTCAACCGCATCACGGACCTGACGGACGTGATGGAGGGGACGATCGTGCGGACCATCACCCGTCTGGACGAAACGTGCCGCGAGGCCAAGAATGCCGCCAAGCTGGTGGGCGATCCCACGCTGTATAATAAGATGCAGCAGGCGCAGGAGCTGATCAAGCGGGATGTGATTTTTGCGGCTTCGTTGTATATGTAGGAGCACTTGGGCACTTCTTTCGGTACATACTACAAGATACCTAGTACTAGACTCTAGATACTTATGATGAACAGATGGGAAGATGGGAAGCCACGTGGAGACTGGGTTATTTGGGTTATTTGGGTTGATTGTTTGATCCTTTAGACTTGTCTCATTGGGTGTCTGGGCTGGTTTATACTCGGTGGAGATCAAAGAGAACCTTTGAAGGATTAGTCTGGAGAATTGAAGCCACACCGATAGGAGAGTGCCAAGGATGGGATAGATTTTTATTTGATCCACCTCCACAAATGAATCAATCAATTCAATATTCATGTATGTTGTATGTAAAGAACAATAGTCATAATAATGATAAATTTATTTTATTTTATTTTTTTTTATAAAAAAAATAGAGTAAGAGTTTAGCCTCAGGGGCAAATAAAAAATGTTGATAATAATTGATCAGTGAAAATTCAGGCCTGTGATTAGCTGGGATAGACGCGGGGCGAGAAAAAGCACGAGCACCACTGAAGTTAAGGTGGGAAATTCAAACCAAACCAAACCAAATCAAACCCGAACTTTTGCAATCTTGCACACTGTTCAATCTTTTGAACTTCTTCTTCTTCTTCTCTCTCTCTCTCTTTCGCTCTCTCTCCACCCCACTGTTACTTCATCTCTCCCTCTCTCTCCCCTCTCATTCCCCTCAGTCTCTCCCCTGGGAATCTTGCTTTTTTTTTTCTTCCCTTCTCCCCACCTTGTCTCCCCCCCTCACCAATCTCCTGGTTGATCATCGTACAGTGGGGAACTCTTTCCTTTTCTTTCTTTTCTTTTTCCCTTTCTTTCTTTTTTTTGGGGTGTCGGATCATCTATCTTCTTTCTTGTTCCTGGGGGTCGTTGTTGGTGCGAAATGGACGTGTCTGCCCTTCGAGACCGCATACAGTCTACCCTCGACGCAAATGCGGATAATCGCCGTCAGGCCGAATTGGACTTGAAATATGTACGTTGTGGAGGAGGCTTTTCTCGATGAGCGCCTGTCGATTAGGGTACCTCACGGGGTGTCTTATCGATCCCCGTTGCGAAACATCGACTAATCTCATACTTTTTTTTTTCAACTGTCTAGGCCGAGTCCCAACCCGGTTTTATAAATGCGCTGTTGGATATTTTGCAGGGAGAGCAAAATAATGCCGTTCAACTGTCGGGTAATGCTGCCTCCCCCCCTCCTCCTTCCCCGCCGATGTCTCGCTTCGATGAGGGTCATCGTGATCATCTGATTTCGTCGCCTTGTGATGGGTTCTGGTTTCTACGACTATCCCGTGTTTTTATGTCTAACGCGCTCTCTCCTCTTTAGCTGGTGTTTACCTGAAGAACCGCATCAACCGCGGTTGGTCCACGGTGGAGGACAACCCGCTGCGCACACCCATCTCCGACGCCGAGAAGCCCGGATTCCGAGAGAGGTTGATTCCGGCATTGGCCTCGACGCCTCCGAACGTTCGCGCCCAGCTCGTCCCGCTTCTGCAGAAGATCCTCCAGCATGATTTCCCCGAGCAGTGGCCCGGGTTCCTGGACATCACGCTCCAGCTGCTCAGTGCCAGTGATGCCAATTCGGTCTATGCGGGTCTGCAATGTCTGCTGGCCATCTGCCGCGTTTACCGATTCAAGGCTGGGGAAAAGAGGGAGGAATTCGACAAGATCGTCGAGCATACGTTCCCGCAGCTGCTGAACATCGGCATGAAGTTGGTCGATGAGGAAAGCCTGGAGGCCGCGGAGATGCTCCGGATTGTGGTCAAATCTTTTAAACATGCTATTTGTGTGGGTGCACATCGTGAATTTGTGATCCCCTTGGTTTTCGGGGGAGGGAAAGATGTCGCGGCTGACTGGTGCGCGTTATTAGTTCGAGCTTGCGCCTCATCTGCAGTCGCAGCAGGCCACCGTCGATTGGTGCACGTTGTTCTTGAGGATCATCGCCAAGGAGCCCCCGGCCTGCTCCATGTTGGAGTCCAAGGAGGAGCGGGAACTCAACCACTGGTGGAAGTGTAAGAAGTGGTCCTACGCCAACTTGAACCGTCTCTTTATCAGGTGCGTGGTTTCATGCCGCAATGGCTCCCTTGACCCGTCTAATCCTTTTTTTGCCCTTTGGTAGATACGGCAATCCGACGACGATGACCAAATCGAGCACCCCCGATTACACTCAATACGGCAAGGCGTTCATCAGCACCTTCGCCCCCGAAATCCTCAAGGGGTACCTGCAGGAGATCGAGAAATGGGTCTCCAAGGGCCAGTGGTTGAGCAGCTCCGCGCTCGCCTACACCTTGGTGTTTCTGGAGGAGTGTGTCAAGCCCAAGGCCATGTGGGATCACCTGAAAGAGCACATGGAGAACCTGGTCGCTCACTTCATCTTCCCCATCCTCTGCCAATCCGATGAGGACATCGAGCTGTTCGAGACCGACCCCTCCGAATACCTCCACCGCAAGTTGAACTACTACGAGGAAGTCTCGTCTCCCGACGTCGCCGCGACCAACTTCCTGGTGGCGCTCACCAAGAACCGAAAGAAGCAGACCTTCTCGATCCTGACCTTTGTCAACGGCGTCGTCAGCAAGTACGAGGCTGCACCGGAGGACCAGAAATTGCCGCGGGAGAAGGAGGGTGCGTTGCGAATGATCGGCTCCCTGTCTTCGGTGATCTTGGGCAAGAAGAGTCCGATCGCGGACCAGGTCGAGTACTTCTTCGTGCGTCACGTTTTCCCTGAGTTCCGCAGCCCCCACGGATTCCTCAGGGCCCGTGCCTGCGACACCCTGGAGAAGTTCGAGCAGCTGGATTTCAACGACCCGAACAACCTCATGATCATCTACCGGAACATCCTCGAGTCGATGACGGACCCCGAGTTGCCCGTCCGGGTCGAGGCGGCCCTGGCCTTGCAGCCCCTCATCCGACACGACATCATCCGGACCTCGATGCAGCAGAACATCCCCCAGATCATGCAGCAGCTTCTGAAGCTGGCCAACGAGGTCGATGTGGATGCGCTGGCCAATGTGATGGAGGACTTTGTCGAGGTCTTCTCCGCCGAACTCACGCCATTTGCCGTGGCCTTGAGCGAGCAGCTGCGCGACACCTACATGCGTATCGTCGGCGAGCTTCTCGAGCGCAACGCCGCCAAGGGCGACGAGGATGCCTATGGCGACTTCTTGGATGACAAGAGCATCACCGCGCTGGGTGTCCTGCAGACGATCGGGACTCTCATCCTGACCCTCGAAAGCACGCCCGACGTGTTGCTGCACCTCGAAACGATCCTCATGCCCGTGATCAGCATTACGCTCGAGAACAAGCTGTACGATCTGTACAACGAGGTGTTCGAGATCATCGACAGCTGCACGTTTGCGTCCAAGCACATCTCGCCGACCATGTGGCAGGCGTTCGAGCTCATCCACAAGACCTTCAAGGCTGGCGCCGAGCTGTACCTGGAGGACATGCTGCCCGCCCTGGACAACTACGTGGCGTACGGCTCCGACATGATGGTCCAGAACCCGGCCTACATGGCCGCCATTGTCAGCATGGTCGAGGACATCTTCCGCGACGAGAAGGTCGGCGGCGTGGACCGGATCTGCGGTTGCAAGCTGGCCGAGACCGTGATGCTGAACCTCCGCGGCTACATCGACCAGTACATCCCTCTTTTCATCGAGATGCCCATGCGCGTCATCGACACCGGGGATGCCAGCACCAAGTCCTACCGGATCCACCTGATCGAGATGGTCATCAACGCCATCTACTACAACCCCGTCCTCAGTCTGCAGGTCCTGGAAGCCAAGGACATGACCAACAAGTTCTTCAGCACCTGGTTCTCCAACATTGACAACTTCCGACGGGTGCACGACAAGAAGCTGTCGATCGCGGCGATCAGCTCGCTCTTGACGCTGAAGGGTAACGATGTCCCGCCGAGTGTGCAGCAAGGCTGGCCTAGGTTGCTCCAGGGCGTGACGAGGCTCTTCCAGACGCTCCCTGCCGCTCTCAAGAGTATGTTGCCATGACCTGACCCCTCTTTTTTCCGTGTACTAACTTGACTTTCAGGTCGCGAGGATGCCACGAAAGAATCCGATTTCACGTTTGACGACGAGGAGGGCGAGGAAGATGAGGAAGACTGGGATGGCGAGATCGAATGGACTGACCAGGATGAAACCGAGGGTGGTCTTGACGGGGATGTTCCCGACGAAGGCGCCGCCTATCTGGATTTCTTGAACAAAGAGGTGAGACTGCTTAGCCAATGATCGCATGCACCCGGATCTAACGGAATACCACAGGCACAGAAATTCGGGTCATTCGCCGACGACGATGACGAGGAGATGGACGAGGAGAGCCTCCTCGAGACACCTCTGGACAAGATCGAGCCGTACAGCCTCTTCAAGCACGTCTTCATGAGTATGTGATGTTTTCCCAAGTGTGGAATGTATTCAGCTAACTCAGTATTGCAGACCTCCAGCAGGAGCAACCCCAGCTGTACGAGAACCTGACCAAGGTCCTCGACCAGAACGAGCAGCAGATCCTGCAGGGTGTCTTCCACGAGGCAGACGCTAAGCTGGCTGCTGCGAACGAAGCTGCCGCTATGGCGACGAACGGAAACCAATAGACAGCGTTTGATTAAGCGAAAAAGAGACGAGCAAAAATAAGAAAAGAAAATTGCAAAGAAAGAACAAGACGACACGAGAAGGAAAAGAAGAATGAAAACTGATATAAGCAACATTAAAAAAAAAAGGCAACTCACCAAAAAAAGACGGGTGGAGCAAGTCAAGTCAACGAGACGAGCCAGTTGACTTGCCAGGCTTTTGAGCATGGTTATAGCGATGATTTGGTCTCTTTTGGGACGCGACCGATTCTTGATTGATTGATTGACACGTTCGCATCGATTACGGTCGAGAGAGACCGCCGGATACGCCATAACGCTGTTGATGTTTTTTTTTTTTTCTCTTCTTTGTTTCCTATTTTCCTATTGTTATCTAGATCTGTTTTTCCCCATCATCCCCATTTGCACACATTTCCCTGCTGCTATCCATCCCCTGATTGCACCCAAAAGTCACATGTATTGCACATTCCGATTCCCCCTTTGATATTGTCAATTGACTTATGTTTATGACACGAGAAAGAAAGCTAGCTAGCTGCCAGTCCAGCGGGAGACTTCCCTCTCCGTGTTGCATGTGCATGACGTCGCTGGCTTATGACGCCACTGCACTCTATCCCATATATACAAACTTTCCGACAACAAATATATACCGACTCCGAGACAGTCTCGACCCACCGGGGTAGTAAGTAGCGTTAATTAGTAGTTAAAAACTATAGTTAGTAGTTACTGTGTATTACTATTGGCATTGAGCTATGAACCGGATTCTGCAGTTTGGTAGGTGGAACCGTCCACACGTCGACTTGGTGATAACGTCATTATGATACATGGGAGATGGATTTACTTGATATATCAGCCACACTGCTGTTACTTATATGTATCACTACTCACCTTCGTCAACACCAAACATCTACCTCTCATCTCCCAATAACTACACAGGTACATACAAACACAAGGTACATATCACCCTCCCAACGCCAACCAAGCAACCCAAATTAACCTCTCTCCCAACCACACAGCTACCTGCACCTCCACACAACAACCCAAACCCCCCTCTCTTCATATATACCCATATAAAGAAGAAAGAAGAAGAAGAAAGCATTGAAAATGTCCGCCCCCCTCTCCGGCCGCGAATCCCCTCCCCCCGAGACCCAATCCGGCGCTCAAGGCGGCGACCCCCCGGGCAAGGGCCACCTCAACGCGACGCCCGTGCACGCGCGGACGCCGCAGCCGCCTGAGCTGGAGAGTAACCCCAAGCATGTGTTGGAGGATATCCAGGCGAAGAAGTATGAGAAGGGACCTGGGCGGTGATTGTTATTTTTGAAGGGTTGTTTTTTGAGTTCTTTTTTTGATTGACGAGGTATTATGGGTTAAGTTTTTTTTGAGGGCAGCTTCTAGTGGTGTATTACGATTAATTCAAGTGTTTATGAAGTGTGTATAATTTGAGTTGTTCGTTGGGTGGTGTACTATAAGTAGTGTTTACTGTGTTGGGAATGGAAAGTAAATATAGTATATATGCATTTTGAAACGCGGCATCACCGTCTTCGCTACTACTATTATATGAGATGATTTGAGCAATATTATCTAGTTAGATAGAAAGTAACTAGGTAGCTAGCTCTATTCAACACAAGGCTTGTCCCAGACAGCTTCCAAACAGCTCAGCTGTGAACTTTGAAAAAAAGAAGAAGAAACAGGCTTCACATCAAATCATTACACGCGAACGAAACCATCCTCAATCCATCCATCAAATCAATCAAATTAGGATCGTCATTTGTGAAAAGAAAGCACCACACTCAATCGGCGTATTGCTTTTCTTATTTAAGACTTCTCAGGCGGCGCCGCAGCATCGGGGAAAGCCGCCGACGGGGGCGCAGCAGTGGGGTTTACCTCAGGCGCAGCATTGGCAATCGGCACGTCGGCAGCGGTACCACTATCAGCAGCCTGCGGCGCGGCCTCCCCGCCAGCAGCGCCAGCAGCAGCAGCCTTACTAGCCTTCAAGTCCGCCAACCGGCGCGCCTCGGTGTGAATATCGCGCACCTGCTTATCAGTCTGGGCATAGAAGTCCCGCAGCTTTTGACCAGAGGGCGTGCCGAGGGCCTTCTCGAAATAAGTGTGCAGACCGCGCCATCCACTCGCGGCCTTGTCGCTGATCTTATAGCTCTCGTCGAGGCCGCGCGCGCGGTCCGACGCTTTGATCTTGCTGTCGAAGTTGGACAGCGCGGAGGTGAACTTGGACGAGAAGCCGTGCTTCTGGTCGAGCGAGATCGCCTTTTGGATGGCCGTGTCGCTGATGGCGTAGCCGTGGGCCAGGTACTCTGCGATGATGCGCGAGCGCGGCTTGTCTTCTTGGGCGACGTCGTTCCCGTTTTCGTCCCTCAGGTCGCCCGTGGGGCCGGCGCTTGTGGGCCGGCCGGCGATGTCGTCGAGGGATTGGGCGGATTCGACGTGGACGGTTGAGGTGCCGAGTTGGGTCTGGTCGAGGAGGAGGGCGGTCTTTGCGGCTCTGTGGGTTTCTGGTTAGTTTCTGGTATTTGCATGTGGTGGCGTGGTAGGAAGGTATTGGGTTGACTGGGTTGAATGGTAGGTAGGTGCGGGGTAGTTGGTATACATACGCTGCTTTCTCGAACGTCACGGTCGCGGACTTGGCCGAGTCCTTCTCGCCGGAAACAGGGGTGACCGAGATGGAGGTGATCTTGCCACTATAGGGTTTTGTTAGCTGCACGCCACTCACTGAGGGGCTGGGCTGGAGAGATGTACCAGAAGCTGAAGAATTCCTGGACCTCGGAGTCAGTAGTCTGGGCAGAGATGCCCGACACATGGACAGTTGAAGCTTCCGACATTGTTGTAGGTGAAAAGCAAAAGGGATATCTTGGGTATTGGTGAACAGAAAAAAATTGACAGAAGTGAGGGAGGAAGATGAAACTCGCCAGATGAAAAAGGAGCGAAGAGGGGTTATATCCATCTGGCGGTGCGGTGTCGTCACGCCACATATGACGTTTCTTGTACACAGCCACACCAGGTGGGTCTATGACGGTGGTGAATTAGGGTGGTTTCTAGATGGTTACTAACTGGATAGCGTACGTACTCCGGTGACTAGATCCAGGCAGTCGCGTTTTCGAGCATAGATGGCTAAAAAAGTTATATATAGGATTGGCTATTGTGGTGTGGAGAAGACTATTGCCAATGAATCCCAGAAATAACTATGGATTGGCACCAAAATAGACAAGGCCACGATTCTACCGAAAGCGAGGGAAAAGGCACCAGCCAATCCAATCTGCCCGAAACCTGAATCAAAGCAAAAAGAAAATAAAAAAGAAATAGAAAAAAACTAAAGAATGAAGGAAAAGGAAAAAGTGGAAAAATGAAAGCTATGGTGAAAGATCCTGCTTCCTCGCCAGCAATATGTAGACTCAATGTATCTATCTTATTCTGCAACATTGAGTGCTGGGATAGATACATTCTGTATTTCACTGGGATCGGCCTGTTGAACTCTCGGGTGTGATCCCTGTTCTCGAAAGTTCTTGAGGGTTTGTTCTAGTTCCCGTACTCGTCGCCGTAGGATGTCGTTGTCCCGCTTCAGAGATTCCCACTCTCCCCGCTGATGCACGATCTCCTCATGACGAGAAATCGACGCGGCGGGAGACCGTTGCTGGGAGAGTGAGCTGCGGTGGGAATATGGCGCGTGCGGCCCACTGGCGTGGTGAGGGAGAGGCTCGATCTGCTGTCCCGCTGGGGATAGCGATGCCGACGCCCCTTCTAACGGGCGGGGTGACGTGAAGGATGGCTCTCGGCTTCGACCCGATCGCGAGTGCTCTCCCGGCCGCTGTGATGGTAGACCAGTATCCCGCGACGGGGCGATCCCCGAGATGCTCCCTGTCCGAGACCCTTGAACCGCGGGGATGTACGACGAGCTCAGGCTGGACGAGGAGCGATGTCGGCGGGACGCCGGAGTTGCGGGAGTGCCCAAGTAGGGCGACGTGTGGTGGGTGTCAATGGGGTCACTTGGGGCAGCGGATGTGGAAGAAGCCGTCGATGCGACAGAGGCTGTTTGTTGGCGAAGCTGAGACAGTTCTCTGGACAGGCGATTCACCTACAACCGGGTCAATTAGCACCATGGGACACTTTCTCGCCCACGAGGGCCGCCCTGGGATGAGGTGTCAATAGCTCACCATCGCCTCTTGCTCATGCTCAACCAATGAATGTATATCTGATGGTGTCAGGGGTTTTGGATGTCGCAATGGACCTATCTCGGTGTTAACCGACGTGTCGAAACACACTTTGGCGATTGGTGCCACCCTACCCGATGCTGTTTGGACGCTTCCTTGTTCTCCGGGGATCGGACCTCCCGCATGGGCATCAGCCCCGAGCGAGGGAGCCGGAGCGCCCATCACTTGCGATGGCCGTCGTGACGAGGACGGAGAGGATTCCATGATGGGGTGTGATGCTGTGGAAGCTCGACGGCGAGATTGAGGAGCGCTGGGGACGGGGCTGATTTCTGGAGCCATAACCAGGGAGGACGGGGAGGAGGATGAAAGACGGAGATGGAGGGGGACTGCAGGTATTGAACAGTCTGGAGGGGAGCAACTGATCGCCTAAAAAGGCAGTAAGAATTGGACAGGGACCCGAGAAATTATCCCTTGATTGGAATTCCAGGGAGACTTAAAACATGCCAAACAAGGAGGTTCCACTGAGATTAGATTGCTGGACAGGTTTGTTGAAGAAGTTGACGACGCTGCGTTGGTCGATTCATGCATGGGGAGCTCGATTAGCAGCATCAAGTCAGCCAACCACTCCTTAGGAACTTCCCCACCTCCTGGGTTGATGTAATAGGGTGGTCCATCCACTTGTTTTGTCTCCCCTGTCATGATCCGGCATTGTTTAATTAAAATATTCTTGTACCCGGTTTGTTGATCTAACGGTTTTGATTTTCCTGAAATTTGCCCCCACTATCGGTATCTACTGTGATGCTATACAACTTTGAGATGGCGACCAACAACAAATACCATCGACTTCGATATCGCAGATAAACAACATTGCATATAAAAAAAAAGAAACAAACAAACAACCCACTGATCGGTTCTACCCCGCAGAGAAGTATGTGGAATGTACTATAGGGTCCACTCTTGACGGTGGTCTTTGTATAGGATCACGTGAGCACATCACGATCCGCTGCTGACATAACACCACCAGTACAACCACCACCAACAACCACGAAGTAATCAGACACTGGAAGGATCCAGCTCCTCAATCAGTTGTTGGAATCTCGTCGCAAGACGGTTTCAGATGCAAAGTTTCAAAGTGAAAACTGTTGGTGTCAGCAGTCCCTGAAACCCCCTCCTGAACCACCCATGGCCCACCACAGTCCCAGCGAGCCCAACCATGCCGCTGCCCACATTCCCCCCTTCGCAAGGCCACTGGCTCCTTACATCCGAACCCGCCAGGAGACCCTGCGCATTCGACAGGCCCTGACGATCTACCTCCGCTCGCTCATTACCTTTGCCGACGACGATGTCGATCGGCCGGACCGCCACGCGCAATCCCACCTCTCCCTGTGTGTGCCCCACGAGGCGGTCGTCGACGTGAAACGCACTCCGCTGGAAGTGTCTGGCCTGAGGAGAGAGTACTTGGAGGCGCTACGGGCGAACGTCGCGGCAAGGAGAGAATATCAGTCGTTATTCGAAGGCGAGACCGCCGGGTCCGCTCCGCCCACCTCGGAGACGCCGAAACCAGATTCCACCCTCGAGCTCCAGGCTTACCTTCGACTGCTCCGCGATCGCCGCCAGCATGATAAGCTGCGCGTCTTCCAGCATCATCTGCAACAAATCAAAACCCGCGAGACGGTCAAACCGGAGGATTTTGAGCGGACGGATGGGAAAGAACGGTTGGTGGTACCGGAGGACTGGACGCAAGACGAACAGAGCGGGGGTCGGCCCGACGGGGATATCGAAGGGTTGTTGCATAACTTGGAGAGGGCCGTGGTGCGCGCTAAGAGCCAGCTCAATCAAGAGAAGAGGCTGTTTGAAGAGCTGAAAGCGCGGCACGACGCACGGGAGAACCCCGATGACATTGATCCAGCCGTCAAGCTCGCGGCATTACAGAGAACCAGAGACGAGTTGGTGCAGTGGGTAGAGCAGAAGCTGACCACTGCGGGGAGCAGCGAAGATGCCCCCCCGGAGGAGATACCCCCGGAGGAGATTGAGGAATCGGTGCGTCTGTTGGAAGAACAAAAGGCACAGGTTATGGAGCTTTACTCCGAATACGTGGACGCCCGCAAGCGGCTCTTGGATGCCGCAGCTCGCGCCTGTCAGCCCATCGCCAGTGCTTCAGCGAAGCCTCCGGATCGGTCGCCTGGCCCAGATAAACCCATTGCCGATCCGACGCCGTCGCTGGAGAGCTTGGATGCTCTCTCGTTTACCAGCGACGTCCTACTCCCTCTTGCCAAGAGCCAGCGGGCGCTGTCTCTCCAGAAAACCTACCTCGCCGGGCTTCTCGGGAAAGAGAAGTCCACGACACTTCGGATCTTGAACCGCCTGAGCGACGAGAGCCATCTTCTGCCGGAGTATCCGATCCTAGCCCGTCAGCCCCGTTTCAAGCACACCGCCGCGGTCGCCCAGAAAGACCCCGCCAAGCAGGATGCGGTTGTTTCGCTGGCCGAAGCCTGGGCCTTTGCTTCTGACGCGGCGGACTCGGGCAACCGAGAGTTTGTGGAACAGAAGGTGCTCCAGGGGACTGAAACGACGGAGGATGCGCAGCAGGCGCTGCAAGAGATCTACAGTCTGCTCAACCAGGACCTCGAGGAGACTCTACGCGATGATGGGGACGGGCAAGGCGACAATGATATCTGGGCCTCCGAGGCACAGTCGACCCGGTCGCGGACGAGAGCCAACCGGAGTGAACGGCGACCCAAGGGGCCCTGGTCCCGACTGAATGGGCGGATTGGCGTGGAATGATTGGATTGATAATCTAGTATGACTTAATACACTACCTACCTAATACCTACTAAGGGAATAAGCACCGACTTTGAGGGATCTGCCGAGTCAATCTCATAATACAAATTAATATCTAGGTACCTTAACCTTATTGACCCTAATTGGCTTTCCACGGGTACTACCGCGATATGGACATTATCAGGTGATCCGGCCTCCGAATGCTCATTGCCGGTTCCCGGACCCAAGATGTCTAGCGTGGTAGCGAGTCTGCTGCAGCGGGGACCGAACCCCAGAAAGGATAGATCGGCTGGTGCATCTTTTTGTTTTCCGGTTTTCTTACTTTGTGCTCTTCTCTTGTCTTTTCTTTGGTTTCTTGGGAGTGAAGACTGCAGAGCTTACTTTTGGGTATTGACCTGGATGTCGATGGTTCAGATGGTAACGTGACATACCACAGTATGGTGTACATGGGCAGAGTCAACAGCCCTCGTAGGAAGAATAATGCAGACTTATAGAAGCCGATCCGCAGAGAATATTTTCACTAGTGTCCACTGTCTACCTCCATGGGCTCCACTGCCATCATCGTCATCAAGGTCTGAGTCACTAACCACCGACCTAGTAACTACCTACTAATGAGTACTACTAATGGATACTAGATTTTTCTCGGTCTGCTCCGTAGGAGACTATGAGGGGTTAAGATACTATAATTTAGGGTTAGCGAGCCACAGTGAAGTCATGGCCGTAGTTTAAACACAATTTGGTCAACTCGCATAGACTAATACCAATGGGGACTCAACACTCAACACTGAGCCCGAGGCTAGCTGGAGGGATGGATACAGAATCCTGTACGGAGAAGCGGTGGTTGAAAGGTTTATGCAGGGAATATTAGGTAAGGGAGGAGTTTGTCCTGGATTTCCGCCCATTTGATATATCTGATTGGTGGAAGATACAGGCGGTGATGGACGCAGCTGACCTCATCCGAATAATGCAAGTTCCGCAGACCGGAACGCTTAGCGGTCCCTGCCAAAAAGTTTGGCTTGTATTGGTCTTGGCCTTGGCCCGGGTCCCCTAAGAAAATTCCACTCTTCGGGACGTTCCTTGTCCAACTCGCGTCAACTGGCTATCCCGACTTTTTTTTTTTTTTTTTTTCCTTTCTGGCTCCGCTTTTTTTTCCAAAGAGGGTCAACTCAACCCATTGACTCATCGCCGCTACCAAGGTTTTTCTTTTCTTTTTTATTTGCCCTTTACTTTTTTCCTCTTCCTCTAATTTTCTCTCCTCTCCTTGTTAGTCGCATCCTCGTGCTTCTTATTGTTCCTCCCTTTCGACTTGTACGCTAGGCCATTCCTCTATCCACCTTAACCTCTTCGTCCTCTCCTGGACAATTGGGCGTGTGGCATAAAAGCGGGACAAGAAGGGATCAACCTAGGCCGATCGAGGGCTAAAAAAGGACCTGAGATTTCTCAATCCAATAGAGAAAACCGCAACTTCGACACCTCCCTCTGCAGACAGTTCGCGGGACCAAACCCCCAGTTCAGCAAAAAAGGAGCGAGACCACTCTCCGTCGGGTCGAATTGACTCCTTCATTTTACACCTTTTTAATTTTTCTAATTTTCCCGTTCCCCCGCGCGGTGCGCAAATATGGTTCTCGCCGCGCGTTGCGGGCAGGCTACGTCCGCTCTTTTGCGGCAGCGCTGTCTGGCCGATTCCCGCCGCTCCGCCCTCTCTCTGCGCGCTTTCTCCTCCCAGACGACGACCGTCCGGTCCACGGCGGCGAACCTGCGGTTGCAGCAGAAGACTGCCTCGCCATGGCGCCCCCAGCAGCTGCGCTCGTTCTCCAGCGCTCTGCGTCGTCTGGCTTCTGAGGCTCCCTCCGCTGAGAGCTACCTCGCTAGCGGTGCCGTTAAGCCTAGCAGCGGTCTTGTCGATGTCAAGAAGGTGCTCGTCATCGGTAGTGGTGGTCTGAGTATTGGCCAGGCTGGTGAATTTGATTACTCGGGTAAGTCATATTGGGATATTGAGGGTTAGAATACTTGTTTTGGGTTGCCTCTTTTTCTCTTTTTTTCTTCGCACATTCGGGAGTGAAGGGTTCCGATTATCGGCCTTTTCGAAGAGTTGATGTGGAGAACACCCGAGGGTGTTGGAAGAATTGATTTGATAAGGGCACAAGACCAACAGAGAGGAAGAAGAATAAACGGATTGTCTGAATAATGACTGACTGTTCTTTGATCTACAGGTTCCCAAGCCCTGAAGGCCCTCAAGGAAGCCGGTGTCGAATCGGTCCTCATCAACCCCAACATCGCGACGATCCAGACCGATCACAAGCTCGCCGATCAAGTTTACTATCTCCCCGTCACCCCGGAGTACGTGAGCTACGTCATTGAGCGCGAGCAGCCCGATGGCATCTTCCTCTCCTTCGGTGGTCAGACCGCCCTGAACTTGGGTGTGCAGATGAACCGCATGGGTCTCTTCGAGCGCCATGGTGTCCGTGTCCTGGGTACCAGCATCAAGACCCTGGAGACCAGCGAGGATCGTGACCTTTTCGCCAAGGCCTTGAACGAGATCGATATCCCCATCGCCGAGTCCATTGCCGTCGGTACCGTCGACGAGGCCCTGCAGGCCGCCGAGTCCGTCGGCTACCCCATCATCGTTCGCTCTGCGTACGCTCTGGGTGGTCTGGGTTCCGGTTTCGCCAACAACCCCGAGGAGTTGAAGAACTTGTCGTCGCGCTCCTTGACCCTGTCGCCTCAGATCCTGGTCGAGAAGTCTCTGCGAGGCTGGAAGGAGGTCGAGTATGAGGTTGTTCGGGACGCCGCCAACAACTGCATCACGGTCTGCAACATGGAGAACTTCGACCCCCTGGGTATCCACACCGGTGACAGTATCGTCGTTGCCCCCAGTCAGACTCTGTCCGACGAGGAGTACCACATGCTGCGTACCGCTGCCATCAAGATCGTGCGCCACCTTGGTGTCGTCGGTGAATGCAACGTCCAGTACGCGCTGCAGCCCGATGGCCTGGACTACCGTGTCATTGAGGTCAACGCGCGTCTCTCGCGTTCGTCTGCCCTGGCCTCCAAGGCGACCGGTTACCCCCTGGCCTACACGGCCGCCAAGATCGGCCTGGGCCACAACCTCCCCGAGCTGCCCAATGCCGTGACCAAGACCACCACTGCCAACTTCGAGCCCAGTCTGGACTACATCGTCACCAAGATCCCCCGGTGGGATCTGAGCAAGTTCCAGCATGTCAACCGCGACATCGGTAGCGCCATGAAGTCCGTCGGTGAGGTTATGGCCATTGGCCGTACCTTCGAGGAGTCTATCCAGAAGGCCATCCGCCAGGTTGACCCTCGATTCCTCGGTTTCCAGGGTGATCACTTCGAGAACCTCGACGACGTCCTGAAGAACCCCACCGACCGCCGTTGGTTGGCCGTCGGCCAGGCCATGCTCCACGAGGGCTACTCCGTGGACAAGGTCCACGAGCTGTCCAAGATCGACAAGTGGTTCCTGTACAAGCTGCAGAACATCGTTGACTGCCACCACGAGCTCAAGGAGATCGGCAGCCTCTTCGGCGTCCAGCACGAGACCATGCTGAAGGCCAAGAAGCTCGGATTCTCCGACAAGCAGATCGCGCTCCTGGTCGGCTCGTCTGAGGACGATGTCCGCGCCCGCCGTACCAGCTTCGGTATCCGCCCGTGGGTGAAGAAGATTGACACCCTGGCTGCTGAGTTCCCCGCCGACACCAACTACCTCTACACCACCTACAACGCCTCCTCTCACGACGTTAGCTTCGATGATCACGGAATCATCATCCTCGGCAGCGGTGTGTACCGTATCGGTAGCTCCGTCGAGTTTGACTGGTGTGCGGTCAACGCCACTCTGTCCCTGAAGAACATGGACAAGAAGACGGTCATGATCAACTACAACCCCGAGACCTACTCCACTGATTTCGACACCGCCGACAAGCTGTACTTCGAGGAGCTCAGCTACGAGCGTGTCATGGATATCTACGAGCTCGAGGCCGCTAGCGGTGTCGTCGTCTCTGTCGGTGGCCAGCTGCCGCAGAACATTGCCCTCCGCCTGCAGGAGACTGGCGGTGCTCATGTGCTGGGTACCAACCCCAAGGACATCGACAACGCCGAGGACCGTCACAAGTTCTCGCAGATCCTGGACAGCATCGGTGTTGACCAGCCCGCCTGGAAGGAGCTTACTTCCGTGGCCGAGGCCGAGCGCTTCGCCGACTCTGTTGGCTACCCCGTGCTGGTCCGTCCCAGTTACGTCCTGTCCGGTGCGGCCATGAACGTCATCTACAGCCAGGATGAGCTCAAGGAGAAGCTTCTGAATGCCAGCGCTGTCTCGCCTGACCACCCCGTCGTGATCACCAAGTTCATCGAGGGTGCTGAGGAGATCGACGTCGACGGTGTTGCCTCGAACGGCAAGCTGATCCTGCACGCTGTCAGTGAGCACGTTGAGCCCGCCGGTGTGCACTCTGGTGACGCCACCCTCGTCCTCCCCCCCGCCAACCTGGACGAGTCCATCATGGCCCGCGTCAAGGAGATCGCCGAGAAGGTTGCCAAGGCCTGGAACATCACCGGTCCCTTCAACATGCAGATCATCAAGGCCGACCAGGAGGGCGCCCAGCCCGAGCTGAAGGTCATCGAGTGCAACCTGCGTGCTTCTCGTTCGTTCCCCTTCGCCTCCAAGGTTCTGGGCACCAACTTCATCGATGTTGCCACCAAGGCCCTGGTTGGCCGTGACGTCCCCGAGCCCACCGACCTGATGACCACCAAGCGTGACTACCTGGCCACCAAGGTGCCCCAGTTCAGCTGGACCCGTCTGGCTGGTGCCGACCCCTTCCTGGGCGTCGAGATGGCCAGTACCGGTGAGATTGCCTGCTTCGGTAAGGACCTCGTCGAGGCCTACTGGGCTTCCCTGCAGTCGACCATGAACTTCCGTGTGCCTGAGCCCGGTGAGGGTATCCTGCTTGGCGGCGACATCGCCAACCCCGCTCTGGTCCAGATCGTCGAGTACCTCAACCCTCTGGGCTTCAAGTTCTTCGCTGCCAGCCCCGAGGTCAAGGCTCACATCGAGTCCACCGCCAAGGACGCTTCCGTGCAGGTCATCGAGTTCCCCAAGAAGGACAAGCGTGCTCTCCGTGAGGTGTTCCAGAAGTACAACATCCACGGTACTTTCAACCTCGCCAAGACCCGGGGCAAGACCCTGGTCGACGAGGACTACGTCATGAGACGTAACGCCGTTGACTTTGGCGTGCCTCTCTTCATGGAGACCAAGGTAAGATTATCCGAATTGTCCCCTTATTCATGTTGACTATATGCTAATCCTCTTCTAGACTGCTCTCCTCTTCGCGCAGGCTATGAGCCAGAAGCTGCCTCGCCCCGAGGGTATCCCCTCCGAGGTCCGCAGCTGGTCCGACTTCGCCGGCACCAAGATGATGTAAACAAAAGCAAAGAAAAAGTGTTTATTATTCCCTTATAGATATAATCATCGGCGATTTACTGTTGTTCTCGGTTTCGAAAGACCGCCTTGCTTGGCGTAGCGGGTGCGGTGCCAGGTCATCAAATGTTGATAAAGACTTTTTGTTTTTTTGACTCGCCTGCTGTTTTCCGTCCTGGATGAAGCAAAAGAGCGGACATGAGGGTTTTGGTTCATGTGGTTTTGTGCATTTTCTTTTTCCTTCTTCTCATTTTTTCTTTTTTACTCCGTTCCCTTTAGCAATTGTTCATTACCCCTTTTTCATGATGGCGTCGAGATGGTGTAGACCGACATTGTCCTCGAGAGGAATGAATGTTGGATGAACTCGATCTGCTGTTTTCATCATATTCAAAATTTGATGTGTATATTATTAGTGCAGTGATTTAGCCAATCTCAACTCGCATATGAAGTGATCTTACCGTTACACTGCGCTTAAGCATACTCACCTAGTAGACGTGAACTAACTTGCCCTCCCAGCCTGCTCTCAAGTCCAGGTAACCTAATATTTGCAGAGAGATAATGACTAATCGCCCCAATCCAACGAATCATTTTCTTCTCTTCATCGCCTAGTTCATCAAATACATCCATACATACAACTCAATCATATCCAACTCCCATGAGATTGGGAACCATCAACCATGTCCCCAAACGACAATGACAACGACGGCCTCCCAGGAGTCTTCACAGACACCACACCCGGCCCAGCCCCCAACGGTCTCGGCCAAGGCCTCTTCGCTACCAAAGCCATCCCCGCCGGCGGGGACGTCCTGAATATCAAGACACCCTTCGTTGCGGTGCTAGATACAGAGCGGCTGGGGGATACGTGCTCTGGGTGTTTTGGGAGGAGATATTTCGGTGGTGATGATGTCTCGTTGAGGGCTTGCACGGGGTGTCGGGTTTTGAGGTATTGCGATAGGGTCAGTATTTCACTATAGATGGTTTTCACATCTATCTATGTATCTACCTTCTCCCTCCCCCCTAGATCAAAAGCAGGAAACCCCGAAACTGAAACAAGAAACACAGACATGCCAATCCAAAGACTGGAAACTCGCGCACTCCCTCGAATGTCCAACCTTCAAGAAACTAAACCCCCGCGTGCTGCCCAACAACGCCCGCGCTGTCCTCCGTATCGTCCAGCGCGTCCAGCGCGGGAGGTACACTCCCGCGGAACTGGGCCGCTTCGCGCAGCTGGAGACGCACGAGGCGGCGATCAGGGCGGAGAATCCGCGGCAGTGGGAGCGTATTTCGCTGTCTGCGAAGGCTGTGAGTGCTTATTCTGGGGGTGAGATGGACGAGGGGGAGATTTGTGAGGCTGGTGCCAAGGTTTGTTTTCCTTCTTTCTTACTCTCTTTCTTTCTTCCTGCTTTGCTTCTCATTCTTAGTACATGTATCTTCTATTGATGTGCGAAGAGGAAAAAGAAATAAAACTAACAGAAAAGCTCGACCTAAACTCCTTCAACCTAACAAACGCCCAATACGACCGCATAGGCCTCTACCTGCACCCCTACGCAGCGCTCATCAACCACAGCTGCGCCTACAACGCAGTAGCAGGCTTCGACGGCGCCGAGCTCTTCGTCAAAGCCGTGCGCCCCATCGCCAAGGGGGAACAGGTCTTTATCTCCTACGTCGACACGACGAACCCGACCCAGCTGCGCAGGCAGGAGCTTCGCGAGCGGTATTTCTTTGACTGTGCTTGTTCGAAGTGCTCCGCCTCTACCGATGAAGACGACCACCAGGAGCAGCAAATCATCGAGGCGTTCAAACTACTTCATTCTATCCCGGCTAGTACTGCCGCCGACGATGAAGGTCCCGTTCAGAGAGTCGAAAGACTACAGTCCGCACTGCGCTCTGTTAACGCATCCACGCCATGCCCTATAACCAGCCAGCCTATCGTCGCGCTTCGGGATGAATTGATAGCCTCGCTGCTCCCGGCAGGGATGTTCTACTCTGCGTTTGCGCACGCGGCTGTGCGCTACGTGCGCGTTGATCCCGTCGTGTACCCGTTTGTGGGGCATCCTATCCGGGCGGTTCATGCTTGGGCGCTGGCGAAGTTGGCGATTCATTTGTCGCAGGGTGGGGAGGGTGGAGTTGAGGGTGAGGGTGAGATGGAGGTGCGGGCGGCTGTTGAGAGGCTGGGGTTGAATCTTGGGTTGGTTATTTGGTCGGTGCTGAGGGGGCTTGTTGTCGGGGAGGGTGCTGCTTGTGCGGTGCCTGGGTTTAGGGGGGTGGTTGGGAGCGCGTTCGGGGAGGTGCAGGGGGAGTTTGTGAGGAATGGGATTGAGCCTGGGAGGATGGGGGTGGAGATTGGGAGGGAGTGGGAGAAGGTGGGGAGGTTGGTTGGGGGTGTTATTGAGGGGGAGGGGGGGTAGATAGCATGGGTCTAGTTTGTGCGACTGGTTTGAAGTTTGAGGATGGATGGTTGTATGGGTAGAACGTGTTGGACAGAAGCCCTTCTGTTGGCGTCTACAGGTAGATACAGCTACCTAGGTATTTATAATTCAATACACTGAAAACTTCGTTAAATTAAGACACCCCCATCTCAGGAAGGCATCTCCGCCCCAATATGTATGAGGCGAATCATCAGTTCAGTTCGTTCACATGCCGACAAAAGACCTTATATTGAGATGCAAACAGCTGACCCGCACTTGACATACAAGTAGACGATGGACCCAAATAGACAACGCAAATGGTATCCACCCATTTTTGTTTTCTTCTCCCAGCACATCCGGACGCCTGATTCCTCCACGCGACACCGCAAACCGACTGTTTCCCAGTTTACTTGAGGGGAATGAAACGGGAAGAGTGGGTGGCACCGATACCGGGACGACCGTGCTTGACGGGCTTGCTGTAGGATTGTTAGTTTCTTTCTTTTTGCCTTTTTCTTTTTTCTTTTTTTTTGCGAAAAGAGGGACGTACTATGAGATGGAGAATTCTCCCAGGTAGTGGCCAACCATCTCGGGCTTGACTTCGACCTGGTTGAACTCCTTGCCGGAGTAGATACCGACAACGCTGCCGATCATCTCGGGGACAACGATCATGTTACGGAGGTGGGTCTTGACGAGCTCGGGCTTCTCGTTGGCGGGAGCCTCCTGCTTGGCCTTGCGGAGCTTCTTGATCAGGCCCATGGGCTTGCGCTTCAGGCCACGGTTGAACCTGCGGCGGGCACGGGCGTGCACGACATCACGGAGCTGTTCGGAGGAGAGGTCGAGGAGCCTGACGACGTTAGAACAGATCTATCCATGACGCCATATCTCATAGCGTGAGATCCTTGTGCATCCTATCCCTCAACGGTGACGAATTCCCCCCATATGCACGCAATCGTCGGTGGTTCGCTCGTTTAGGGTCGGATGCACGGATTTCAAGCCAGGAATATCGGAGTCCACATACTGGTCGAGGTCAATGCCGCGGTAAGAAAACTTGCGGAACTGTCTTCTCTTCTTGATCTCTGTTGGCGATGGCTGTCAGCGCTGATGTTCCTTCTCGATATTGTGTCCCTCCCGATCGTCGAATCCGGTCCTGATCCTTCATCCCAAATCCACGTCGAAACCCATTTCCATCGCATATATTTCACCCCAGGACATATCGCACAATCAAATCGGAATATTCATGGGACCGGACGGGATAGGGAGGGGTTGGTTCAGTGAAAAAAAACGTACCGGCGGCCTCCTCGGCGTTCTGCAAAACAAGACATTCGTTAGCGACCTAGTTCCTCCCTCTCCATCGTCGCATGGGATAAAAGAAGACTCACGTATTCGGTGTCAGCCATTTTTGCAGATGTGTTTCCTCTCAAGGTCGCTTTCCGATCGGGACTCGAAAAGCGAAAAGGGCAAGGGTTGTCGTGTCGTGTCGCTGATGAACGTTCGTCGGGCTTCGACTTTTGCTAGGGCGCTCGGGATGGGAGTGAGGGTGGGCGGAGCCACTTTCTAAGCGACGGCTCGGGTTTAGCCCTACTACGCTAACCATTGTGGGATGATTAGGGTTGTGTCTCTATTAGCCCTAATCTTGAAAGATTGAGTTGGCCGCTTTAACCTAATTCGGCAGTTCTATTCCATGGCCCGGCCAACTGGAGTCTACGATATCAATGGACTTGTTGTCTCGCAATTATACGGTTGAGTACGCTCAATTGCAGATTAAGTTCATAGAACCTAGCGCGACTACACATACAGTGTTATACTCCGCAGTGATCATCAAACTATCATCGATACTTAACCTACGAGGGAAACAAGTGGTGGAGGTCAGATAATCTGAATTAGCTAAAAGCTCTTTCCAGCTCCCGTATGCATGAATCGTCACTGCATCAGAACAGCCTGAAAATGCAGGCTGGCCCAGTTTCCTGGGCGAATTTCCTCCCAAGACTGAAAAGAACCGCCAGACTTCTGTGCCCCCATAAATCACCGTATTTTTCTTTTGGAGGTTCGTACGAGACGATACGCTTAGTCGAAGAGACCGAAGCCCATGTCCTCATCGGACTCCTCCTTCTCCTCCTCCTTCTCCTGGGCGGGAGCGTCACCACCGGCGGCGGCGGCAGGGGCGGCAGCAGCAGCGCCGGCACCACCGGAGGGAACGGAAGCAAGCTTCTCGGAGCCCTGGGCGATCAGCTGCACGGGGGGTTAGTATTTGTTGACTCTGTTACGTGTGCGATTCCTGTGAAATACGAACCTCGTTGATGTCCTTGCCCTCAAGCTCGGAGAGGAGCTTGGAGAGACGGTCCTCATCGGCATCAATGCCGACGGCGGACAGAACGCCCTTGATGTCGGCAGCGGAGGGAGACTCGTTGCCGGCGAGGCCGAGGAGCAGGTAAGCGGCGAGGTGCTTCATTTTGAATCTGAGGCACAAAACTCTGTTAACACGAGTCGTTCGAAAACAAAACCCTCGCGACGATGCGACCACTGGCTAGGAAATAACACAAGGGCGTAAATCTCAAAACTTACCGGGTTTATGAAATAAGAACACGAGAATCAATCGATTTAACCGCAAGTTGGGCGGAGACTGAAACGTCGAGTTCGCTGGGAGGGATATTTAGCGATGGAGACAGAAAGGAAGTCAGGAATCGATCCGCTAAAACTCGAGAGAAAAAGTGCGCTGCGGCTGGCAAGTGTGGCTCATTGGCTTAGTCTTATCCATAAGCGAGGGCCCTGTGGCGCAGGCATCCGGGACCTTCCGCTTAGCTAAGCCCGTGACCCTGACATCCTCTCACGTGACCCGTAACTTCTAGAAGGACAGGATGGCGAGACCTATTTTTACCCACTGGCAAAGCCTTCTCTGATCAGCAGCCTCACTCCTGTCTTCTTCCAGTATCTTCTGGTTGCAGTGTCAGAGCGTGGAGCCTGCTATTCAGTCAGTTCGCATCTTGACCTTTGGTCGAACCGCAAGAGTCATGAAGCTACCCCGTCAACTGACCCACCTACGGTGATTTGCTTCTGTATCCTCCTCGAACGTGCTCTTTACCTGTGACAGACTACGCAGCCCAAGATGAGTGTATGATATCTCCCCCGAGTTCCACTGACAGTGCCATCCTAACCTGCTATCAGTTCCTCGATTCCGTGCTTTCGTCGATCGACAAAGGCCAGCCGGCGCGCATGCCACCAACTTCGTCCGCTCCACCGGCACCTGTCTCTTCGTCTACCGCTAAACCGGAGGCTCGCAAGCCGGCCACCGCATCTCGAAATGCTCCTTCCGACCAAAAGACAGTTGCCTCGGGTATGAAACGGAAGGCTGAGGAACAGCTCCCCCGTCCTCAACGGCCAGCGCCTCCGGATTCAAACAAACCGTCAACCTCTCGACCTCTACCGTCAGCGACGCTGTCTAAGCCCCGTCCGATCGCAAAACCCAGCTCCGCACGACCGGTGCCTGCGAGAGCTACCACCGGGAGTAGCTTGCCCACACCTCAGAAGGCGCCTCAGAAACCCCCTCAGAAAGCGCCTCAGAAAGAACCCCCAGCCTCTTCGAAGGCTCCTCCCAAAGGTTCCTTTGCAGACTTGATAGCGCAGGCGAAGAACCTTCAGCAGAAAACGCCCACACAGGTCGGCATGTTCAAGCATCAGCCCGTCCCGAAAGAGAAACTCAGCAAGATGGAACGCAAGAAACGAATGATGGAGGCCCAAGCCAAGGAGAAAGAAGCCAAGCTGGGAAAGCGGCCAGGTGCTGCCTCAGGGACTAAGCCTGGTCTCCAGAAACTGGCCTCCAAGACCGCCGAACCCACCTACAGGGGCACTTCCCGACCAACACCAACGCCAACGGCAACGGCCCCTGCTCAGCCTGCATATCGTGGTACGGCCGGTCTACCGAGTCGACGTAGCGGAAACGATCGGAATGCGCAGTCTCGCGGCGGTCGCCGCAGAATGGATGAATACTTGGGGACAGATGAAGAGGATGAGGGCGAATATGCGGATAACTACGATGATTACTATTCCGACGCATCGTCCGACATGGAAGCTGGTTTGGACGATGTGGACCGCGAAGAAGCCGCAGCGTTGAAGGCAGCCAGGAGAGAAGACGAAGAAGAATGGAAGGCAGAGCTTGCTGCGAAGCAAGAGAAGTTGGAGCGGCGCAACAGGCTGGCCTCATTGGCTTCTAGGCGGGGCTGAATGTCGAAAGAGCTCGACTCTTGCCATTCACACAAAATCTCCGATACTTTTTTTTGGATTTGTCATGGAGTATCATTTGAGGGTATACCCACGATGATGCCATTACGCGGTTGATTGATTACTAGTGTTTTTCTCTTCTTTTCTTTTTCTTTTGGGTTGGTTTTGTTTCTTGATTTCAAGCATCAGCGAGCGACAATGTCCATAGAGGGCTTTCTTTTTCTCTACATGTCCATATTTTGGTTGCATGCAAAGCGCGGGGCGTCTTTTACTCGGTGTCAATCCGTTTTAAATACAATTCTGTTTCTTAGCTTTATTGATGATCTATTAATGTTCCAACATCGAGCTCATATGCCCGTGACTATCCACTGCGGAGACAATTCTCCGTCCAGGCCCCACCCGGGCGGTGACATCACCGGTGCTTTATCCTTGTCCAGGTTTCTTAACGTCAACTCTCTTCAACAACTTGTTCTAAACATTCCATGAACCTGTCTCTTCCCTTCATCTGTAACATTCACCATCGATCTTCTCAATCAATCAATTCCACCATACCAGCGCTGCCCATAATGGAGGCACACCAGGTGTCAGCCTCGTCCAAGGCTCTCTTCAAGAAGGCGCGTCAAATCGTGCCTCCCATGCTGGAGCGATTCCACAAAGGTATGCCCTCTGCAACCCTATCCTTCTTCGTCATATCCTTGCAGCAGAAATTGATTGTATACAGGCCAGCATGGACGCGTTGCAGTCATCGGAGGATGTGCAGAGTATGTAGACTTCCCGGAAACTCCCTCCTCACGATCTGACCCCGCCTAGTTACACAGGAGCACCGTACTTTTCTTCCATGGCTTCAGCCAGACTAGGTAAGTGCTCACTTATCTCTACAATCCAGCAACGGTAATAACAAAGACTAATCTCAACACACAGGATGTGATATGGTACAATTGACCCCGTCCCCGCCTACGGGATTCCCACAGTACTGACGAAGCCCAGAGCCATGTTATCTGCCAACAATCAGCGGCCACCGTACGCAATACCAACCTTGCCCTCACTCGAGTGCAAAGCTAACAACCCCCACAGGTCATCAAGTCGTACTCACCAAACCTAATGGTCCACCCATTCCTCGCCAGCAGCGACACAGTCAAGGACTCCAACCCAGACGCCCGCTCGCTCGCCAGCCCGATAATCGCCATGCTCTCGCGTCTCCACGCGCTCGTGATTGGCCCCGGCCTCGGCCGCGACGGCGTCGCACTCAAGGTCGTCAGAGAAGTGATGAAAGAAGCGCGGTCCCGCTCCATCCCGTTCGTCCTAGACGCAGACGGGCTCCTCCTCGTGTCCGAGGACCCAAACCTGGTACTCGGATACAAGGAGTGCATTCTGACCCCCAACGTGAACGAGTTCAGCCGGCTAGCCCAAGCCCTGGGAATCGACATGCCCACCCCGGCACCGAATGCCACGGACGCCTGCGAGAGGCTGTCCAAGGCGCTGGGCGGCGTGACGATCATCCAAAAAGGTCCTAACGACATCATCTCCAACGGGATCAGCACGATGGTGTCTGACATCGCTGGCGGGCTGAAGCGCAGCGGCGGACAGGGAGACACGCTCACTGGGTCCCTGGGGACGCTGCTGGCGTGGCGCGCGGCGTACCACGATGGACTGTGGGAGACGGGGGAGAAGGATCCCCCGAAGCCGGCGCATAGTCAGCAGGAGGTTCAGGCGGAGCTGGAATCCTCGGGCACGCGGTTGTCGCCTGCGACGACGCTGCTGCTGATTGCTTGGGCTGGCAGTGGGCTGACTCGGGAGTGTTCGAGGCGCGCTTTCAACGCCAAGGGGCGGAGCATGCAGGCTAGTGACCTGACGGATGAGGTCCATGGGAGTTTCCTGGATCTGATCGGTGAGCCGGAAGAATCGAAGACGCATCTATAGATGTGAGGCGGTCGTCTAGAACGGAGGTAGCCTTGTGTGTATCTAATACGTAATGTCATCAGATGATATGAGCTGTTGTTTTGTCTTCTCCAATCGGGGCGTTGTTCCAGATGCTTTGTCTGGGACCTTGCCTAAATTTAGTACGCCGTTCTCCAGACCTGCTATGACCCTGTTCGGCTCCGGAACTGGATCGAAGACCCGAATCTGACAGGTAGCGTGATGCTCGCTTCTAGCTTGCAGTCATTTGCTAGGTTCCGTGACTGTGTACTGCCTATACGAGAGGCTCTTCGCTGTCTTCTGCGTCATGTCAGATAGCTATACTTTGAGAGTGATACTCAGTCTATTGTGACCAATTGTGTGTTTCGCCGTCCGACTCCGGTCTGTCCAGGCAGACATAGAGTAAACCGGTCCCTGAACACCTATTGAGTAACAAGGTCCAACACAGCCAGCCCACCGACAGCCACCCTCGCTGAGTAAATCCACAAAACCAGGCTTTCCAGTATCACGCCCCCAAACCCAGCCTTCAACCACCAGGCCAAGCAGCCCCCCCAAAGCCCCAAAGAGGAAGAAGAATCAACCGTCAAAACCCCATAATTCCCCACAGCAACTCATAATAACAATTCAGTCACATATTAATATCAGCCACAAACCCCGCAGCAAGTCATCATCAGCAATGTAGGTATGTTCCAGATCTCGTATTCGAGACCGCCGGGCTGGATGCCTGTGGCGTCCGGGTGACGAACCAGATCTGGGCCCCAGCGCTGGGCAGCTGTTCATGGCGGAGAGACATGTTTTAGACATTGATATTGGATTGGAACGTTTTGAGGGGTTTTGTTGGCTGAGGCTTTTTTTCTTGGTTCGTTCTGTGATACGTAGGATGATTGGGATGGTATAGGGCTGGAGGTGCGTCTCGTATAGTTTGTAGAGGTGAGCTCATACATGTCTTGCCAAGTTTGGGTTGTGTGTGACCGTGGTGGGAGACAGTTACTCATCCTGTAGGATCCAAGAATAGAACGGGTTTCGATGTTAGGATGTGATGGTATAGATGGGGTGAGGAGGAAGAGGTATATATAAAGCAGGTCGAGCGTCGCCATCAACATCTCTATCCCATCCATCCATCAAAGCATCAATCCAGCGATCTACAACTCAATACTGCATCCAAACCTCTTCTCCAAAGTATATATCTACAAATACCCACCGCAAAAATGCAACTCACAACCCTCGCCCTCCTCCTCGCAACCGCAACGGCCGCAGTCGCCATCCCCACGGAGTCCCACCAACCTCCCCCAGTCTGCAACACCTGCAACCCGCTCTCTGGCCAAAACCACTGCGACATCACGACCTCGTGCATCAACACCGGCACGCGCTTCCACTGCGCCTGTCGCGCGGGCTACAAGGCCTCCGCCGACAACAACGACATCAGGAAGCAGTTCCGCCTCAACATGCCGGACTATAAGTTCTTGGTGTTTACGCCGGAGTCGACCGAGTGTAATACGCTTTGCAATAATCCTTATGGGGCGGGTCCGGATCTCTGTGCCGAGGTGCCTGTTAGGGATAGGTGTTCTGTTTAGAGGCTGCCTGGCTTATCCCTGATTGACTGTCCCGTCTTGGTATGGGAGGGAAGGGGGTTGGTTGGTGGTGTGTTGGGTATGGACGTGGAGAATGAATCCATGAGTCTGGTGTTTGGTTCAGATCGGGGAGAAGTAGGTAGTATAGCGTTGATTGTGACTTGGGGATTTTATAATACGAGGGGTTAGATAGCTTGATAGTCACTCCTTTATGAATGCAGTCGTTCCATTGAACAGATGTTATTCTCTGTAAATCCCAGTAACAGTAACCTAGTCAAATAATCTTCCAGCCTGCAGAATTATGCTCCCAAACACCGGTCATTTCTACCTCATGCGTGACTTCACATACCATGACCCGAATAAAGACGACAAAGACGAAACGCGCAATGGATATAAATATTAGGATGTATTCTATTCCACATCTTGCCTCACATATCCATGTCCTCATCGTCGGCTTCGATGAATATAAGCCGGTTGCTGTCCTCGGAAACTTGCCAGACCTTAAGTAACTTGTTAGCACACGGCAAAAACTAAGAGAAAGAAAGAAAGAAAGAAAAAAAAAAAACATACCAGAACACTCTCATACTCGGCCAGTGCCATGTTGAGCTGATCTTGAGTAAAGCCCTTGGCCAACACCCGCTCGCGGATCCGCCGCATGCTAAGCGCGCTGTCATCCCCGTCGCCCACGACGGCAGCTCCGCTGTCCCGCATGCTGCGGATGAGGTTGTAGATCTTGCTCGTCGGGGTCTGGTCCAGACCGGAATGTCCGTCGTTGGACAACGAGGCACGACTGACGTCCACCAGGCGCAGCGCCTCGTCCACATCCTCCGTGATGACCTCGTTGCTGAATCGCAGACGCGCCAGCGCCTGAGAGAGACGCACCACACCCAGCAGGGTACGCGGGGTGACGTGGGAGAATTGCTTCTTGCTGGCCTCGTCGCTCTTCTGCTGCTTCCGCATCTGCACGTACGCCCCGACCATATAGTCAGACACCGACGAGGGGACGACGGGCCGGAAGGTGCGCGCCTTGGCGACGTACTGGCGGACTTCGGCGGGGGTAAACATGATGCCCGAGTCCTCCGTCTCCGGGTGCTTGTTGTGCATGTGAACATAGGTGACGTGGTTGGCCAGCTCCTCGTCGCCGTCGCGGGACGGGGTGTCGAGAATGAGGAACATGACGTCGAAACGCGAAAGCAGGGCGGCCGGAAGGTTGATGTTCTCGACCGGCGACACGCGGGGGTTGTACCGGCCGTAGAGCGGATTGGCCGCGGCCAGGATCGATGTGCGTGCGTTGAGGGTGGTGGTGATGCCGGCCTTGGAGATGGAGATGGTCTGCTGTTCCATTACTTCGTGAATGGCGGTCCGGTCGCCGTCCTCCATCTTGTCGAACTCATCAATACAGCAGATGCCGTTGTCGGCCAGGACCAGGGCTCCACCTTCTAGCACCATCTCGTCCGTGACGGGGTCCCGCATGACAGCGGCCGTGAGACCGACACCACTGCTTCCACGACCAGTGGTGTAAACGCCGCGAGGGGCGACCTTCGTAATATACCGCAGCAACTGCGACTTGGCCACACCAGGATCACCCATCAGGCAGATGTTGATGTCGCCACGGATGTGCATGCCATCACCCATTTCCTTACTGACACCACCAATCAAAAGGAGGAGCAGGGCTTTCTTAACGTCCAGATGTCCGTAGATTTCAGGCGCAATGGACCGGGCGAGATACTCGTACATGTTGCCGGACTTGTCGTGCTGCTCGATCTTCCGCAAAGTTCGGCTGTCCATGTTCGTATCGTCGTACGATTGCTTGTGCTGGGTAACGTGTTGAGCCTCCATGTAAGTGTCCGTCAGAAGACCCGCACGGATGGCCCTGAAGCCAGTGTAAGGGGTGGGAAGGAAGATGCCGGCAATGTCGACAACGTCGCCCGGGTTCATTTGGCGCGTCAGAGATCCGTGACAGTGGATGGTCATGGTCCGGGGGATGTGACCGACGGGCACCTGTTCCGCCATCTCCTGGATCTTGACCTCCTGGAAGGGAATGAACTTGGACGCACGAGTCGAGAGGAACAACTGTCCCTTGACGTTGTTCTTCTTGCACTCGTCCGACAGACACTCCGTCAACGGCATGAACTGCTTGGTGGTGACGGGCTGGAACACTTCGCTTCCGCAACGGTCGCAGGTGTAGGCGTTGATCTCAACGGCGGGCTTGACGTCGGAGACACGGGTGACGATACCACGGACGGTCACTAGGCTACCAATGTGATCCGCACGCACGTGGCGCACCGCAAGGGCTTTCGAACCGCGCTCAGTGCTCGATCCGGACGGCGTCAGGGGCTTGAAGTTGAGTGTGTAACGACGAGTCAGCTCGGGAGGGAACATCGACGCAGTCGAAGGGGCGTCCATGCCGGCTTCTTGAGCCATGGCCATGGCTTCGTTTCGCTTTTCACGTTGCGACATGATGACATCGAGGACATCGTCTTTGAATCTGTGACGGTAATCAGTTGCGAGGTCCCATGTCCATCACCGGTGTAAACCATACGAGATCTCGGTGGTCTCCTGGGGCATGATGGCATCCACCGCCCGCGAGAAAATTTCGACATAATGCTTTGTATTCCTCTGCACTGAATCCACGAGTTTGAGGTCGACGTCGTCCGGAAGTGATTTCTCGTACTACAAATTCGCGGTATTAGTGATCTGCGGAAATGGAACCTAAACCAAACTGTTGATCTCGTCGACTGTCTCTTACCTTGACCAAATCATCCAGCTCTACCAAAACGTTAAGTCGCTCGCGATTGGCAACATCCTGCAACATCTCCATGTACTTGAGCTTTGTACCCCGGCGCCCCCCGCGCGCCCCCGTCTGTCCATTCCCATCCTCTGCATCATCCATGAAATCATATTCGTCACTCGTGCGCTCGCCCCCATCGAGGTGGAGATCTTCAAGAGCCTCTGTGGCGGCCGTTGCAGAGGTCGACTCGAGGGTTTTGAACCCCTTCAAGAAGTCCTTGAAGGTGTCCAATTGTTCGTCATAATTGACCGGGGCATTGTAAGCGAGCAAGGCCATGATGCGACGGTGGACAGAAGCAGATCAATTGGCCGTGGAGAGAGGGGTGTTGATGTAAGAGACGGACAAGGGAAGGAAACGAAGGGAACAAACGGACCCAACTGAATCCACAGCTCAGAATCCGACTTCTCCCCAGCTGTTGTTGCGCTAGTCCCCTTTCGGTGTTAAACACGTCGCGTCACGAAAGGAACGCGTCGGGCCATTCCTCAATACACGCTAGTCCTGTTGTGACCTAGCGCAGTAGCACGTGGACCGGAGCGGAACAAGTCTCGGTCCGAACAGGATCAGGCGGGCCGGTTCGGCGAGTTGGACTGGCGGCCTCTTGATTTGTGGAGTCCCAAGGCCGCAAGTGAGATGCCGTGGACCTTGGGAAGTCCGGGGCAGACAGTACCACTAACACTCACGCCTCGGAGATGGTGATTTGTGTCCTTGTGCCTTCTCTTCCTTCTTCCCTCCGCTTCTTTGCTTCCTTTGTTTCTCGCAATTCTGTCTTTGTTTTCTAATTCATATTTCGGACTTGTGGACTGCTACTCCTGTCTCCCTGCGCCCGAGAATGGCGCCCAAGAAGCCCTCCACGACGGCCGAGGTCGCCCTCGTGCCATTGAAGAATTGCTTGGTCAACCTGCCACCGTCACTCGTGGCGCTGCTAGTCAATGCCAACACGGTGAGCTTGCCTTTTAATCTTCAGTTCTGGTAAGTTTTTTTTTTCTCTAACCAGAAAATCAGACTGCGCAGAACGTCATTGTCGAGCTGCAGTACCGACCGACGGCCGGGAAGCTCAGCGGGAACCCCGCGCAACGGTCTTGCTACCTGGGATGGACCGGCATGCAGAGCAAGCGCAAGCTTGCGCCGGTGGTCGGACGAGATGGAATCAGCAATTCCTCTTCCACCAGAGAGCAGGACGCCTCGACGGTCGAGCTAGATACAACATTTGCGCGGGTTCTCGGACTTTCCGAGGGACAGCGGGTAAGACGTCGCCCTTAAGTTTCAGCTTCAGCGCATTGAGACTAATACGTTGTAGGTCGGGATTTTTATCCACCTAGACCCTCCCGTGGCTCACACTATAAACATCGAGCCTCTGACTCCGGAGGATTGGGAAAGTATGGATTGTGAACTCCTAAGGCGGTCCGCCCCCGCACAAGTGCTGACCTCGGCTATTATACAGTCATTGAGCTACATGCGTCATTCCTCGAGCTGAATCTCTTGTCGCAAATCCGCGCGCTACCAAACCCCGGATACAATTCGGCGCAGTCGGAACACATGCATGCGCTTGCGCTGCATCTCTCCCCGACATCAACGGCCAATATTGTCATTACATCACTCACGCCGCCTCCCTCCAACACCTCTCCGTTCGCGAAGATCGCCCCAGATGCGGAAGTGATCGTGGCCCCCAAGGTTCGCTCCAAGGCGAGAGGCTCGCGGGGCGAGAACCGAAGCGTCACCGGCAGCAGCAAGCGCAGTGGGGGAGGACGGAGTAGCGGAAGCACCGTGCGACCGAAGAGCGGCCGGTCCGACTCGACAAGCCGGGGCTCCCTTTACTTCCGAGGCACCGATCGTCAATGGTCCGAGCACACCTTTGACTCGGAGCTGGAGGAGGATCGCAACGAGGGTTTCCGTGTCTGGATAGATCCGGACGTGCTGGCGAGCAACGAGCTGCGCGGCGCCACTTGGGCGGCCGTCAACATCATCCAACCGTCGGGACTGAAGGCTCCCTTGGATCCCCAACAACAAATGAGCCAAGCGGAGCAAAAAGCCAGTGATGCAGGCACACCCGCGACGAAGATCGTGGCTAAACTGGCGCCGTGGGTAGATGCACCGGACACCCAGCATGTTGCCTTGTCCACTCTGCTGTGCAGCGCGCTTGGCTCGGAAGGCATGGCCGGTGGCATTGTCCGGGTTGAAGCGGCGCCTACCCCGTTGCAGCGGTCGGCTGTGAAAGGCCTGAAGATTTACCCTTTCACGACCGACACCACCAAGAAGAAGGATGGGCTTAAATTTGGCGCCGACACGGTGGCCGCGAAGGATGCTCTGGCGGAACGGATCAAGGTGATCCACGGCACCCCTGGATCCGACAAGGGATTGCTGTCTGGACCTCTTACGGATGGCATGATTCTGCCCAGGTCGGAGAAACCGAGCACGGTGTCTCCATTCGACGGTGGTATCCTTCGATTTGATCCGCCGTTGAAGGCCACCTCGGACACGCCCAAGCCGTTTGGATGGTTACCAGGGTCGGAGGTCAAGCTGTCTCTTGAGGTGCAGGCTGAGATTCCTAAGCCCGCCGACCTAGGTTCGTCGGTCCTGTCCTCGGAAGACACGTTACCATCTACCATTCCCAAGATGGTGGGAATCGACCCCATCATCTCCCAGTGTATCGACGGCCTGACCAAGTCATCGTCTATCTTGTTGACTGGCGGTCTTGGTGCGGGAAAGACGGCTCTGACGCAGCTACTCGCCCACAAGGTCCGCAAGGAATATCTGTTCAACGTCAAATACTTTTCGTGCCGGAAGCTCGTCACCGACGAGACCCGGATCTCGAACATCAAGGAAACACTGAGCCGGCTCTTCATGTCCGCATCTTGGTGCGCTCGTCTTGGCGGGCAAGCCGTCGTGATCCTGGATGATCTCGACAAGCTGTGCCCCGTCGAAACTGAGCTGCAGGTCGGCGGAGACAACGGCCGCAGCCGCCAGAACAGCGAGGTTATCTGCTCGATGGTGCGGGAGTACTGCACGATGAACTCCTCGGTGGTGCTCTTGGCGACCGCGCAGTCGAAAGAGTCCTTGAACAACGTCATCGTCGGGGGTCATGTGGTGCGAGAGATCATCCACCTGAGAGCGCCGGACAAGGACGGGCGCCGAAAGGTGCTGGAGCAGCTCACGAGCCAAGACCGGAACACCAGCGCCGCCACTAATGGGCCCGGACGCGCACGGGACGAGAGTGCATCGTCCGCAGACGACTCCTGGTTAGATCCTTCGAACCCGGACAGCCGCCCTAGCACAGCCGGAATCGACGGCTTCGTTCTGGGCCGGGACATCGATTTCCTGGAGCTGGCTGGCAAGACAGATGGCTACATGCCCGGCGATTTGGTGCTCCTCGTCTCGCGCGCACGGAACGAAGCGCTCATCCGCTCGGTGCAAGACCCCATGGCTGCATCAAAAGCGATCACCCTCGGGGCGAAGGACTTCGACAGCGCGCTGGACGGATTCACCCCTGCATCCCTGCGCAACGTAACCCTCACATCCTCCACCACGACGTTCTCCGCCATCGGTGGCCTCCACGACACCCGGAAAATGCTCCTGGAGACACTACAGTACCCCACCAAATACGCGCCCATCTTCGCGCAATGCCCGCTACGCCTACGGTCCGGCCTCCTACTCTACGGATTCCCCGGCTGCGGCAAGACGCTCCTCGCCAGCGCCGTCGCCGGCGAATGCGGGCTGAACTTCATCAGCGTGAAGGGCCCCGAAATCCTCAACAAATACATCGGTGCAAGCGAGAAGAGCGTACGCGATCTCTTCGAGCGAGCCCAAGCCGCGCGGCCCTGCATTCTCTTCTTCGACGAATTCGACAGTATCGCGCCCAAGCGCGGTCACGACTCGACGGGCGTGACGGACCGAGTCGTCAACCAGCTGCTCACCCAGATGGACGGCGCCGAAGGGCTCTCCGGCGTCTACGTACTCGCCGCTACGTCCCGACCGGACCTGATCGACCCGGCGCTGCTGCGCCCGGGACGACTGGACAAGTCCCTCCTCTGCGACATGCCGAGCCACTCCGACCGGATGGACATCATCGAGGCAGTGAGCAAGAAGCTCGCGATGAGCGACGAGGTGGCCGCGCGCCTGGACGAGGTTGCCGAGCGGACGGAGGGCTTCTCAGGAGCGGACCTGCAAGCCGTCGTGTACAATGCCCACCTCGAGGCCGTCCACGACGCCCTCGGCGACCGCTCAACCGACAAAGCAGCGGGCAAGAGCGCCGGCAAGCAATCCACCTCTTCCTCGTCGGCAGCAGGGACCAGTACCAAGTCCTTCATCCAATTCCTGTACTCGACATCAGAGCAGCGCAACGGATCAGTCGCCATGCCGTCCCCGGCCGTCGTCGCGTCCAAACTAGATGCCATCAAGAGCGCCCGGCGCCGCCAGCGGCAGACCGAGCAGGGTCCCTCCGCCGGGGGATCGACGGCGCCCACGCCGGTGACAAACGGGGCAGCAGCGCACGAAGAGCCGCGCGAGGAGATCATCGTCCGCTGGGAGCACATGGAGCGGTCGCTGGACACCACGCGGAGCTCGCTCAGCGTGAACGAGCGACGGCGTTTGCAGGGGATCTATTCGGAGTTTGTGTTTGGGCGGAACGGCGAGATGCCGAATGGGGAGGCCGGGAATGAGATTGGGGGGCGGACGAGTTTGATGTAAATGCATGGGTAGGAGGAGTTGTACATTTATTGGTAGATAGTACTATGTATAGAGGATGTATATTTACTCGCCGGCAGAAGTGCTAAGAATAACCAACCCAACCACAACACTAATAAAAAAAGAAAAAAAAGAAAAGGAGTTCCATCCCCAACTCGAACCCACCCCCTCCCTAAAATACCATCCTCCCAAAAACCACCCCACCTCGAATAAGCTTTCAAGAGTGAAAAAAAAAACTGGTAGCTTCTCTTTGATTGAGCGTGTCATCCTTAGTGCAGGGGCCATGCTAATCTTCTCTGTATCGTTTCAAATTGACCAAATGCCCGAAGGCACTAGGTATATCCTTATAGTAAAATATATAGGAGGGTTGAATTGTGTTCGGGAATGATGATTGGGTGGTGGGGGCTGGCGGCCGGGTAAGCGAGATTAGGTAAGGAACACCGAAAAAACCACCTAACTTGGTGGGTGGGTGGGTAGAATTCTGGAAGGGAGAAGAAGGGGGGGAGGGAAAACTAAAACTAAAGGAAGAATGGGTGCCACTGCCACTGCCGGCCATGTGGTGCGTATCCACTTATAATTACTACGTGTGGGTAATGGTAGTGGGTGGGTGACTGTTGGGTGGGCGATAAAAATGCTGTTGATGGTTCCGCATTGTGCTTTGCTGGCGATGGGAGTTTCAAAACTACCTAGGTAGATATATTATTGTGTAAAACGGTAGAATTGTCAAGCGATGCTATGGCCTAACTAATCAAGGTGCAGTATTCGTGTACAATCCTTAAGCAAGCAACACCATAAGCAGGATGTAATTAGTCATCAGGCACTGGGGACTCCACACTTTGCCCCTCAAAGCTTATTCGGTAAAATCGGAGTTAACGAGCTAGTAAACTGCCGGTATGGTGGAGTCTTTTGGGTCGTTTAAGACTGTATTTAATTTACACAATACGGAAGTCATCCAGTGGTCCGGTGCCTCGGTGCTGGCTTTCGAAGTAGAAAGAAGAGTGCGGAGTGCGGAGTACGGAGTAATCGTGCTGGACGGTCTAGCACGGCTTAACCTGGATGCCACATTTGAAGAGTACGTTGAGAGATCAGCTTGATACCTCTCATTTTGCTCTAAATAGTCAGCCAATAAGCGCCAACTATATTAGCAGTTTAGCACCCTTACCAGGTTCGCTAGTGCCTTGCGTCTCTCGTAGTCTCGTATAGCAAGGTCAGATCCCCGAGGGGAAGAATTCCCCCATATGGGTTAGGGTGGCGGCTATCCATGGGCGGAGATCGCCTCTGTTACCAGTATCGCCTTGTTATGCCGAGGGCCGAATGGTTACAGGTTCTTTGTATTTATTCGGCTTTCCTGTTCTCTGCCACTTATTTATTTGAGCCTCTTTGAACTTTTATTCTTTTCTCTCCCGATTGCTTTTACCTTCTTCTCCTCTTCTTCTCTCCTCTTTTAACCGTTCTTTATACGCAATCCTATATATCCGCCTGACAGTTTCCCTACCCTTCCCCTCTCCATTTCCCCGCATCTGGCCGCCATGCCTGTCGCTTCTTCCTACCCGCCGGTCGACATCCCCAATGTCGACCTCTGGACGTTTTTGCTGGAGCGCAAGGATAGGCAGTTCCCCGATGACAAAAGTCAGCATATCCCCTTCCATCAGGCGTCACCGAGACTAACAGCCGTGCAGTCATTTACCAAGATGCCGACACTCAGCGGTTCTACACTTTCGGCGGCCTGAAGGACGCGGCGCTTTCATTCGGAAAGGGCCTGAAAGCCACGTACGAGTGGAAAAAAGGCGACGTGCTCGCCCTGTTCACTCCCAACAGCATTGACACCCCGGCGGTGATGTACGGGTGCCATTGGGCCGGCGGTGTGGTTTCCCCGGCCAACCCGGCTTACACCGTTGAGGAGCTGGCCTTCCAGCTGAAGAACTCGGGCGCCAAGGCCCTCATCACACAGGCCGCGCAGCTGCCGGTCGCCACCAAGGCTGCCCAGCAGGCGGGGATCCCCGACGACCATATCATTCTGATCGGCGACGAGCGTGACCCCTCGGGCAAGTTCAAGCACTTTACCTCGGTGCGCAACATCTCGGGCGCGACCCGGTTCCGCAAGACGAAGATCAACCCTGAGAAGGATTTATCGTTTTTGGTTTACTCGTCTGGTACGACGGGTGTGCCCAAGGGTGTCATGCTGTCGCATCGCAATATTGTCGCCAATACTCTGCAGCTGGCTGCTGGGGAGGCGGGCAACTTGAAGTGGAATGGTGGTGCGGACGGGGAAGGCGATAAGATCTTGGCGTTTCTGCCTTTCTTCCACATTTATGGTAGGTTGCTTCTTTCTTCTGCTTTCTTTTTCGCTTGGCCGTGCGGCTACTAACAATGACAGGCCTGACATGTCTGGTCCACCAAACCCTCTTCCAGGGCTACCGCCTGGTCGTCATGGCCAAGTTCGACCTGGAGAAGTGGTGCTCGCACGTACAAAACTACCGCATTACATTCAGCTACGTCGTGCCGCCCGTCGTCCTGCTCCTGAGCAAGAGCCCCGTGGTAGACAAGTACGACCTGTCGAGCATGCGGATGATGAACTGCGGGGCCGCCCCGCTGACGCAAGAGCTGGTGGAGGCCGTGTACGCGCGAATCAAGACGGGGATCAAGCAAGGGTACGGGCTCAGCGAGACCAGCCCGACGACGCACACGCAGCCGTGGGAGGAGTGGCGGACAACGATCGGCGCGGTGGGCAAACTGCTCCCCAACCTGGAAGCCAAGTACATGACGATGCCGGAGGACGGGTCGGCACCGCAGGAGGTGCCGGTCGGCGAGGTGGGTGAGCTGTACATGCGGGGCCCCAACATCTTCCTCGGATACCACAACAACCCGGCCGCGACGGCCGACTGTCTGTCCGCCGACGGGTGGTTCCAGACCGGCGACGTCGGGTACCAGAATCGCGACGGGGCGTTCTTCATCACGGATCGCGTCAAGGAGCTCATCAAGTACAAGGGGTTCCAGGTGGCGCCGGCCGAGCTGGAGGGCATCCTGGTGGATAACGAGGCGATCGACGATGTGGCCGTCATCGGGGTGGAGAGCCAGGAGCACGGCACGGAGGTGCCGATTGCGTTTGTGGTGCGCAGCGGCAAGAGCAAGGCGTCGGGGGTGGCCCCCGCGACGGAGGCGGAGAAGATCGTGAAATGGCTGGACGACAAGGTGGCTTACCACAAGCGTCTGCGCGGAGGGGTGCGGTTTGTGGATGAGATCCCCAAGAGCGCCAGCGGGAAGATCCTGCGTCGGGTGCTGAAGAAGCAGGCGCAGGAGGCGGCCGCGCCGCCCAAGGCCAAGCTGTAAATCATGATTGACGTTTTCACATTATATATCCATGGTGCGTTAGACTAGCATCGGTTCGACTTGAATACATTGATTGGCATATACCATGCTCGCACCTTCAGACAGCGACATTAACCCAATAGTACGGACGCACCAGGAAGCAAAAAGAATCTACAACCCAAACCTCTTCACCATCCCCTCCACATCCTCACCCTCCACAGCATCAACTCCACCCCGCGCAACCCTCTCAACAGCCCCCTCCACATCCTCCTCACCCCCCAACAAATCCACCCACCCCGCCGTATCTCCCCTCGCCAGCAGCAAATCCGCCACGATCGCAACATCCCCCCTCGACACAGTCCCATACCCCCTGGTCGTCCTCCCCAAGTCCACCTTCCGCGTCGCCTCCTCATCCGTCAGCGTCCCCGGCCTCAAATTAATCGCCTGCAACGGCGTAGCCTTCCCGGCAGCAACATCCTTCGCACGCACCGCCGCCAGCGCAGTCATGTACTCGTCAGCCTCGAGTTTCGCCTGCGCGTAGGCCGGCAGCACGCGGTTGAAGACGTCCTGGATGCGCGCCCAATCGGCGTCGGACATCCATGAGGGCTGGGTGCGTCGGCTGCCGATCCAGGAGATGAGGAGGATCTTGGACACCCGGGGCGAGGCGAAGGAGGCGGCTAGGATGTGTTTTGCCGCGTCGCTGTCGATGGCTTGGGTGCGGGCTGGGCCGCCTTTGCCCCCTGCGCCTGTTTTGTTGTTAGTATTCTTTTGATATATATTGAAGTAGGCATGCGGTAAGGAAGGAAGGGGATAGTACCAGCTGCCCAAACAACATAATCCGGGTTAGCGGCGTCGAGGATACGTTTGGCGTCGGCGTCGCTGCGGACTTCATCCAGACTAGAGAGCAGGACGGACAGCTTCCCTGGGTGGTTGTTGGCCAGGGAGAGGATATCCGGCTTGTGCTCTGGGTTGCGGATGACTGCCGTAACGGACCAGGAGCGGGCGAGGAGGAGGGGGATGAGGCGGAGGGCGATCTTGCCGTGGCCGCCGAGGAGGAGGACGTTCATTTTGATCTATGTATTATATTATAGTGTGCTTATAATATGTATGGTGGAATATGTAGCGGAATGTATCCAGGTGGTGATGATGTAGATGATGCGGGGTGATTTATGCTGGTTTCTGATGATTAATAATTGTGTATGGCGTCATGACTTTATTGATCTGTTTATTTATTTATTTATGTTTATTACTTCATCTACTCTATTTAATTACTTTGTTGATCTATATTATTCTATCCACTACTTTATTCTAGTACCATTCTAAATGTCCATCACTTGATCGGACACAGGAGAAGAACAGAAGAAAGATGTCTTAGGCACCAAGGGATACGAAGATCACTTCAACCCTTCCTGATTCAACCCTCCAACCATCAGACCATCCCCCATGTTGACCAACTCCGTACTACTCCGTACAGAACTGTTCGTTTCACCCAATTGATCCTCTTACGCCCCAAATTTCCGGGACGCCAGACGCCACTAGAACCCGAATGGTCCCCACCCCAAGCACCATCAATCTATATCAAACCGGATGACAGGCTGACAGCCCAACGGGATTCCAGTTGGCCTTCATTTCGGGTGAATTCATTATGACCAGTCGAATGGGAGGGGCTTAGACGAAAGGAGATTGGTTCGGATGGAGAGGGGGTCTGCTGTGGAGACGGACGTAAGGAGTCGAGAATCATCTTGTTCTTCATTGTGCCTGGATAGTATTCATTGGGTGGATACTGGAGAGTTATAGTACTTTATCATGTCGGGTACCTGGCAAGTACCATGGGAGGTACGGAATGAACCATGGGTGGTTCCGCATATCAGATGCTCTAATTCCCAATAGTTTGATATCGGTTAGAACAGGAGGAGAAGAGAAGAGAACAGCTGAAGGGATTTCTGGTCCAACGCGATCGAGTTTAGTCGGATCGAGGAGTACCAATCATGAAGAGATTTCCATTCAGGAACAGAAATAATCAACTTCATATGCTTAATCTTACAGAATTTGATGATGAGAATTTCGAAATAATAATCTTATAAATAATAATCTTATAAATAATATATAATATATAATCAATAATTAAAATAAAATAAAAAAAAATCCACGATCGGGTCCAGATCTCTCCCTCCTTCGGCCTCCCTCTGACTCTCCCTTCTTCCTCCTTCTTCTCCCTTTCTCAATCCTCTTCCTCATCCTTCTTCCTTTTCCTTTCCTGCATTCCTTCTCTTCGCGATCCTTTTCTTTCTTCCCCTGCCTCGGGTTCCTTGCCTGTCCACTCGTTTGCCATCGACTCGACTCCCAGCCATTTCCCGGTCAATCCAGTCCAGTCATTCCTCCGCTCACCAGCGGAACGGCCCTCCCTCCAGCCAGCTGTCCGTCTCCACCCGCCTCGCCCTGTCAATTCGTTCTGTCAATTCGCCTGTCCACCGTCCGGTCCGACCTGAATCCTGGATCCTTGCCATCGTCCGACCTCTATCCGTTGGTTTCGTGGTTACTGGGGAACTTCTCCTTGCACCCGTTGTGTGAGTCCCTCAATGGTTCCGGATGCGCCTCGCGCCCTCCCGACCTGACCCATACTATCGACTCGTCCGATCTGACCTGCCCCCCGTTTCAGTATATGTGTCAATTGCCTCCCTTTCCCTCTCGTCAGTGTCCTCCGACTCCCCAGCAAGGGCCTCTCCGACCCAAATAGTCTGTCTCCCCGACTACAATCGGTCCGTCGCCCGCTCCTGCGTGACGCCACGCCTCGTCCACCCGGGCCCCTGCCCTGCCTCCCATCCACCACCACACCATGAATCGATTTCGCAAGTCGCGAAAGGAGAAGGCCAAGGAGGATGTGCCGGCGATGCCGGCCGAGGCCGTGCCCGCCACCCGGACGCCCAAAACCCCCAAAAAGCCCAAGAAGCCCGACCCGGAACCGCCCATGCCGCCGCTCGATTTCTCCACGGCCCTGCCCTCCAACGACGATTTCCGCACCAGTCTACTCATGCCCAAACTTTCCGCCAGATTCAGCATGCTGCGCGAGCAGGACGACCCGGGTTCCATGATCGGCAAGGCTAGCGACGATAGTGTCCTCTTCCCCAAGCGCGCGTCGCGCCTCAACCTCTTCGGCCACAACCCCAATTTGCTGGCAGATATCGACGAAGTCTCCAACGATGGCAGCCGCCCCTCCTTTTCCGTGAGTCGCGCCGCCTCCGTCATGTCCGGCGTCGATGGCGACGGCACCGACGACGATCGCTCCCAGAAGGAGAGCATCATGAGTCGCGCCCGTCGCGTCGAAGGGAACAACCTGTTCGGGGGCCGCCAGAAGGTCTACAAGATTCCCACCAAGGTGCCTCCCGCCGACGCCCCCGCCGAAGGGCCCTCCGCCATGGGCGGACGGGCCGTCTACGACCACGACGTCGGCCTCTCGGCCTTTCAGCGCCAGCGCCTGAGGGAGAAGGAGGACCGCGCCGCCGACGACGCCCAACACGAGGCCCAGAGCCCCGTCGCGGAGAGCACCGCCTCGCGCATGTCGTCCGCCAACCGCACCACCTACTCTTCGACCGCCTCCGGTCCGACCGCTAACGGCCGTACCTCCACCGCGGCCACCTCCATCGACGAAGAAGCGCCCTTCGCGGGTCCGCCGCCCGGCGACGCCCCCGCACCCCCCAAATCGTCTCAGCCCGGGTGGGGTCCCGAGCGGGGCTCCGTCAAGTCGCGACGGCTCTACGGCCCCGGCCTGACCCAACACCAACAGAATTCCGCCCTGAGCCGCCTCGAGAGCCTCAGTCGTCAGCGCGCCGGCACCCCCGAGTTGGCCCCCCTCAAGCGGTCCTATTCCCGGAGCGCCACCAATCTGCGCGACCGATTGCAGCGTCTAGGCGTCGCCGACCAGACCGTCCAGGCCTCCCGCCGCGCGAGTCCCCCGGCGTTTCCGGCGTCGGCCGCCTCCAAGGACCCCGGGCCCGCCCCGCAGACGGACGCGCCATCCCCCGCGGGGCTCCGTCCCGCCGCGCCACCGCGGAGTCCGGCCCCGAGCGACCCGGACGACGCGTCGTCGCTGTCGTCTGCCGTGCATCCTGAGGATCGCGGGAAAGCCACCGCTCTGGGCATGTTTAATAAGCCGGCCACCGAGTTCGATGAGACTCAGTTCACGCGGCGCCAGCTGCAGATGCACCAGGGTCGGAGCACGCCCCCCGCGCGACGCCCGTCGCCGCCGCCTTCCGGACGCGCCACACCCCCGCGCCACACAGCGCGGGCCCGCGGGGCCTCCCAGTCGAGCAGCCGTCGATCCCGCTCCGGGTCGCTCGCCTCGTCACACTACAGCGACGCCTGGCGACCGGGCAGCCGCTCGGCGGCCACGAGCGGCCGGGCCTCTCCGGCGCACTATGCCCAGGGCACGTTCCTGGCCAATTTCAGCCCGAGTGAGTCGGAGGACGAGGAGGCGACTCACTCCCACGCGCGCGGCGTGTCCGACGCTAGCGCCCCGGACGGCCCCCCGGCCGAGGACCCCCACCCGCTCCCAGAGGTCCGCTTCTCGGATCTGGGGGATCTGAAACCGATCGCCGAACCGGGCCCGGTCGTGGGGAGTGCCGCGGACGAGCCGTCCGCCCAGCAGGAGCCGGACAAGCCCGACTCCCCCACGTTGGGGCCGTCGGGGCTGGGTCTCAGCGGGTTGGTGCGCACCCATCTGCGCCGCGGGAGTGATCGGTCGTCCGTCTTCTTTCCGCCGGCCGCGGGCGATCCCCCCAGCCACCCACCCCCTGTGCCCCCGCCCGTCGCCGCCGATCACTGGGCCCGAAAGTCCTCCATGGACTCTCGGGACTCGGCCGGCGACCTGGCCTGGGGCGAGGAGATGATCGCCCGTCACCAGCGCGACGGCAGCACCGCCACGCAGCGGGAACGCGACGAGTTTGAGCGGGAGCTGGCCGAGCGGCGTCGGCGGGTCCAGGAGAAGCTGAAGGGCATCGCTGAGGCCGACAGCCGAGCGGGCAGTCCGGTCTCCGGCCGGCAGACGCCGGATCACGGGGCCGTCCGGCCTGGGAACGCCTTCTCCATGCTGAAGAACCGCACCACCAAGGGCAATCTGTTCCACCGGCCGGAGTCGAAGGCCGGCGGCCGCGTGATGGGGTCTCACAACACCTCCGCCACGTCTCTGACCCAGGACGGTTACTGGCACGACGAGGAGGACCGGATGCCCATGGACTGGGGAAGACAGCAACAACAACAACAACAACAACAACAACAACAACAACAACAACAACAACAACACTCCCGGTCGAGCTCGCCCCACGTCCCCGCCGACAGGTCAGTCCGGTCGCGCATGACCGCCCACGGACGGAACAGCCAGGAGGATCTTGTCGAGTCGCGGGGCGGCAGCCGCGGCGCGTCGCCCCACTCGAGCTTCCGCTCCCGCCGGAACCGCTCGGGCTCGGACACCTCGCGGCGCTCCAAGAGCCGTCCGCCCCGTGACCGGGACGACTTGGACACCGTGGAAGAGGTCACGATCGCCCTGGATGGATACTTCCCGCGCTATCAGGGCTCCGTGCCCCCGTCCACGCGCCCGTCCGCCGAGCTGGAACCTCTCGTGTATGAGCGACCCCCCTCCGCCGCGTCGGGATGGACCCGCGGCGACAGCCGCTCCGCCACGCCTAGTATTCCTGATCGGCCTCCCCTAGCCGGCGCAGCGGTGATCGGGGCGCCTTCGCGCCCACCCCCGCTCGCACCCTACTCCGCCAACGCCACCCCGCCGCTATACGAGCTGCCGCCCGAGCCCACGCCATCCTCCTCCACCTCCGCCTCATCGACAGCCGGTTCCTCACGATCCAGGTCCCAGGCCGGTCTCCAAAAGCGAACGATCAACAAGATGCAGATCTCCGAGCCAACATTCGTCTCCTCCACATCCAACGTCCCACTCCGCGGCCTCCCCCCAGGCGCCAGCCTCACCAACGGCGCAGCAGGGACGCCCCCCATCCCGCCCATGAACCCGCGGCGCCGCCGGCAAACGACCACGCAGACGCTATTGGGCGCGCTCAAGGGGGACCGGCACGACTCGCAGTACAGCACCTCGACGGCCAGCTCCCTCGGCGAAGAGCAGAGCAACTTCTCCGACGAGGGCGAAAAGCGGCCCCGGCCCCGCCACCGGCTGCGCAAGATCTCCAGCGAGGGAGGGCATTTGAACGCTCGCGCCAGACAACAGGTCATGGCGGCTGGATCCGGGGCGCCGCCTCCGCCGAAACTTCCTGCTGAGGGTGGGATGTTCTAACGTCGTCTCCTTGAACTTTATCATATATATTCCGCTTTATAATGTCTACATGAGCCAGTTTTGGCTCACTCGGCGAACTCATTCTTTGACATTTGACTTCCTTGCATATTTACATCGATACCTCTCTTTATTATATTTCATGTGTCTTTTTCCTTCATTATTTATCTTTCTTGTTATCATCTGATCCATCTGTTTTTCCAGAGCGGATCACTCTATGTCCAGGATTATCTATCCTCTTATGATTGATATACCAACTACATTATGTTGAGCGACAGGACTGTCTTTTTCTTTCCTTTCTTTTTCTTTTTCATGTCCACAAATCTTGGACTGCATCTACCTACCACCTACCTTTCGTTGTGCCTTCCTTCCTTTCTTGTCTTCTCCTTATCTATTTTTCTTTTTGTTCATGTACTAAGCAAGCAAGCCTTATGCTTTGATTCTTGTTCCTCCACACTCAACCATACTGAAATAGATGTATGTATGTATGTATGTATGTGCCAGTTCTATCCAGAATACTATGTACCTTCCATAATCTAGATTTCTTTTCCAATAACTGCGACAAAAACTAGCAAGATCACCGGCAAGCTGCCTTCCCCCCCCTTTTTCCGTTTTGGGGGTTTCGGCTCTAACCCCAAACCCGCCCCGGGCCCTCCTGGCCGATACTTGACATGTTTCTCATTTGGATGGTCAATGCCGGTGGATCTGGGCAACAATCCAGCAGTCAATAAGACCGAATCCATGATAGGCCCTGCACACACACATACATACATACATACATACATACATCATCCATGAGATATGTCGAAAGAGGTCCAGTCCCCGTGGAGAGCCTGTGGACTAGTGGGTAAGTTCGATGGCGGCAAACAGACGTGGAAGACAGACTTGCTTGTAACAGAACCACAAATGAACGGAAACGGGGTACGGTTCATTATACACTTCAAGCAATAGGTTGTCAGTCTCTGAAAAAAGTTCAACTGTTGTTCCAGAAACAGTCAGAGATGAAGGCATCCATCAAACACCCTTTATGGACGGTGGTTGGGTTGGTTGGCCTTGGAAGTTGGCGAAGAAGAGAGAGAGCCATAGTACATTTGTCATGGGTTATTAGAAATGGGAATGTTAGTTAGTTAGATGGTATAAAAGGTCCGGGCTGTGTTTCCCATACCACCCGAGCTTTTTATGATACTTACTGACTCAGTGTCTCGCCTTTGACCCTGATAGGACTCACCCTTTACTTAAAACAATATTACCTTTGCACTCAAGAAGTGAGCAAGAGCAAGGGCTATGAAGTGTGATGTTTTTCTGATCATGACTCCACTATCTATGAACCTCTGTTTATTATACTCCAGCTCACACTGATGGGAAGGAACACCTGCATTGTGGCGTCAGGCAAGCAATCTTGGCCAACTTTAGGACCTCTTCAATCAAAACAAAGCGAGCTGTGCGTGTCATGGGTGGAACTAGTGACCTTAAGTCTTGGCGATCTGGTGGTCAAAGCAAGCTTTCTCTCATGGCGAAGGAATAAAGTACAGCATGACCCTTAGACCGTTATTTTAGATGGTAGCATGCACATGCTGGTTGGTTATGGTCGAGTGGCAAGTCGCCTGCCTGACTGCTATAATCAGTGTGTTGGGGGGCCTACCCACGAGGACAGAATGTAAGATCAAATGCTTTTTAGGATAGACTAAGTCCCTTGCACATATTCTCTCAACTCCAGTGATTCCCTTCCATTTCTTGGCTGGTGGCCTTGATTACTCACCTAGGAGGTCAAATCTAGAACAGTCAAGCTCCCGCAGCCACGTCAGTATCGTGTGGGGAATTGTGGTTATAGTTTCTTGTATCGTTTAGGTGGTGGTTGTTACTCGTGGATTGGGAGGGTCGGATTGGAATACGAACAGGCACGTGTACTTACTGACAAGATTTTTAATCCAGGCCGACCAGGCTATGGTGCGCTTCAGCTTACCGATAAAGATAGTACCAGTCGTTCATTTACTAGAGATGGCTAATTCCATACAGACCTTGCATGTGTAGGATTCACTAGCTGCTCTTCCTACTGGCGATGCTAACATGTTCTTGATCACACTCGGCTTATTTGTGACTAGCAGACATGTTCCTTGAGCTGATATGGCAAGGCCCCCTGGCACATCCGAAAAGTATTTAGAGACCTCACAGCCCTGATACTCTCCCAGGTTGGACATCAAACTTCTCAAGTCAATAGAATCTCCCTTCTTTTTCATCTTCATCTATACAACGATTTTCTTCTTGACACCGACGTCATGCACTTCAAAGGTCTCAGTGTTCTTTCTGTGGCGCTCGCATTGCCCAATATTGCTCTCTCCAAACCAAGCTGCGAAAACAATCTAGAATGGCCTTGGTACGAGCCTGACGGAAGGAGTGCAGCCGCACATGGCATTGACAAATGGTGCAACAACATTGCCCCCTCCAGGTTCAATGCCGAGCAGGAGGTGAAGATCTGTCTTGAGGTTGATCATGAGGTGAAAAATCTCAACTTGTGGTTCAAGAACACCAATAAACACAAAGCCGACTTATCAATCGACTATTGCAAGAGCTTGCTGAAGAAGATTGTTGATTCGTGCCTTGGGGCTGGTTATGATAACACCAATAGCGGCTGGTATGGAAGGTAAGGTTCCCCAGATCCCTGTAGGAGATACAGGACTGACACATGGGTCTCAGGGCGTACTCTGACAGTGAATGCATGGTATAGAATCTCAAGAGTATGGAGAGAATGAATGATGGTGACGAAGAGAGCTCAAAGTATGTGAGTGTCTACTGATTGTTCAAGATCTTTTGCCGCCTGGTGCTCATTTGCACTAGGTTTATTTTAACCAAGGACAGTGTCCAGAATTCTTATCGAAAGGGTTGGATGGGTATTATGACTGTGGAGAGCAGTCTGGTTTTGGGATTTTTCGTTCTTTTTTTCTCTTTTCTTTCTTTTTCTTCTGCTCGTGTGTACTCTAGGAGTGAAAGCAGGATAACATGTCAAAGCTCTAGGAGCTCTTCGTGCTTCTGTTGTACTCGTTATGGGTGACTTGGGTTATGAGATCTGTGGCGGATAGTCTCCAACTTAAATAAATTGAAATTGACTAACAATGGGTTCGACACACCTGAGACCTCACACAGTGGTTGTGGTAGCTATGAATCAAGGGGTGACCTGATTCCGAAGGTAACTAATCAACAAGAGAGATAAGACCCACTAAGTATATATACTTGATAGTAGATAGAGTATTGGAAAATAGGCACTAGATTTGAAGGTATACTTGAACTGAAACTGTGTAGTAAACATGACTAACTAGACTTAGATGAGTGTCCTTTATACCCTCTCGTGATATACGTTCGAATATACTATCTGAAGTAGATCCTTGGGTGTATCTAATCACCATGCTTTTGCCCCTATACTACACTGTATACTTGCCAGGATAGATGTCTGAGTATATAAGTCATCACCCACCTGATGATACGCTAGGATTGAATCCAAAGTGCTATATTGGAGTGACAGCCCCTTATTAGATAGGGCTGTCTTTGTTCCTCAGAAAAGCCGATTCCAGTCCTGTGTGTTTATAAGACTGGTGATAGAAAAAGCCTGCTTATTGGCCGAAGAGAAAAATTCTTCGCCAGCGACTGCGAGAGCGCGTGATGACGGACGGCTGCAAGTAGATTCAGATTCCGAGATATAAGTCTCTTGCGTATGAGATCGTCAACGGATATTTGGCAGGGTCTCATGGTTTTGCTCGGACGAAAGGGTCCCGAAGGTTTCTCTCATTGAGAATAGCGTTGAGTCCGCTTGGTTCAACCATGTCTTTTGATCAAACAGAGTTGAAGTCAAGCCAGTAGAGCCCCGGTTGGTTGAAGCGGGCTGGGTTCAACGAATGATAACCTTTTTGGTTTAGCTGGAATGGTTCGAACGGGTAATGACAGGCTTGGATCCGGGTTGAGCAAGACACCTTGGTCAAGCGGGCAGAGACAGTGAGAACCAATCGATCTCCGCAGGTATAGACGGGCAGGAGAAAGATCAGCACATGTGCAATCTCCCTACAGACCAGCAACCACAGTATGGGAGTTTTACCCAGGAACAGACGGGTGATCATGTACCCAGGAGTATATCACAAGCTACGCATAGTGATGGAAACCTACCCCAGAAGTATAGAAGGAGTCACTAGAGTTAGATCATACATAGAAATACTCATTTACTCCGTGTCTACAGTTTAGTTAGTTGTGTTTAATACACAGCTCAAGTCAGTATATATCTAACTTCTCTTGTAAGTATCTAGTTACTTTTAGGCTATTAGGTCATCCCTGAATCACTCGTTAAAACCCATGCAAGAAGACGATAGCACGTCTACTCTCTGTAGATCCTAAGTATTACTGTTTGATACCAGAGCTTAATAATCCTGAAGACCACATAGGATATGTAGCGCAAGCGTGGCCATACCAGCATAATTTCAAGCTCTTCAGAGTCTAGTACCTGTTGGAATAATAACCACGCATCACTACAATCGACTTGATAGAAAAAACAATTCTTCTGGACCAATATTGGATCAGCAACGAAACAGCTAAATCCTGATCGCCTTTATCACTATTTCGAGATACACCACATCCACCATACTAGACTAGTAAAAAGAAAGAATAACAAGAGTCTGCGAACCCTTCCTGCTTCCCATGTCTCCTCCCTGCAACAATCCATAATACCATCACATTCCTAGAATACAGTCAGCGTCTCTTTGACCATCGTGACATGAGGGCTTACCTGGTGAATATCTATACTCTTCAACTAGAGTACGAAGCAACAGCATTCACACTGTTATCACCATGAGACTTGCATTCTCCAATCTTGTAGTCGTGCGTTGAGGAATCCACGTAGCCGCTGCCTAAAGCCGTAGGAAGGCTTCCACAGCCACCTGTCGTGAAGAAGTACCCCTTCTGATGTTTGCCCCCCCAGGTCGTGATCTTGTAAGACTTGAAGCCTTTAGGCCCAGTCGCACAAGTATTGTCATAGATATTGACACCTTTCTGGACGGAGTTTTCGCAATTATCGTCACTGAAGGTATCAATGACAAAGGCGGATCCAGTGGCGCTGAGACCAGCCATGATGGCGACGGTGGTGGTGAAGAAACGCATCTTGGAAGAGGAAGAGATTCTTGAAGTTGGAATGATAGAACACGAGGTGAACGATGAGGCTTGATAAGCTAGAGTATCTTGAGTTGATGAGCTGGAGTAACTTGAGTTGATGGATTGTGCAGATGTAGAGCAGTGGAAGAGGGGGTTTATATACCTGAGCTGCTTTGGCATTCATCACCATTCGCTTTACTCGTGCCCGTCATCAACAGAAGTGTACAGCCCCATGATGCCATAACTGTCGCCTATCAGATACATACAGAGATACTAGGTATGTGCCAAGCCTCTTAAATTCATTCTAAAGATAGAAGAGCGAATATAATTTGAGGGTTGAGTTGGTTCTTTTGGCATCTAGAGAGACCATGAAGGTCATACTGGTCGATCATTATCCTTTCAAGCTCCTAAAGCATCATAAACAGTTCATGTCTGTAGAAGCCTGGGAGAGCCTTGGAAACGTCTCACCTACATAAATCGTATAGGACCAATCGTGTGTGGTTTGACGCTATCTCATATCAGCAAGGCTGCGGCGTGTTGATCATGTATGTTGAGGGCAGGGTTATTAGTGTGGAGCCTCTATAATGGCATAGAGCATATTCTAGCCATAGCAAAGTACGAGGCGCATTCTCGGCACTTGTATTTTCTCCACCTGTGGGTGGTTTGGGAAGATAGATGGTTGGTTGGGAGAAAGGCTCTAACCTGACAAGGCTATCGTGGTTTGGTCCCAACGTCCATGTAATTGGTCACAACCACCAATTACTGTTTTAGGAATATGAGAGAATATGCACGTCACGGTACTAACGTTACTTAGCATCCAGGCCCTGTTTAGGTGGCTTGAAGGAATCCTCCCCCTACCACTTCCGGATCTGCCTACTTAGTGATCAGCTCAGGATGCTCAGAGGGTGGTTAGGTCTACGTACTCATGTATACGTACTCAGTGAGCAAAAAGCGGCAAATGGGTGAGCACTAGAACGGAACGAGAAACTCCTCTTGTTTCAGTCGGACTGACAAATAGCTAAATGAAAAAGGGAGGGGGGCAAGCATCGGTGCCTTGGGGTAAGCAAAGCGAACGCGTACGACATGAAAAATGAAAACGAATAAAACGGCATCAATACAAAGAGCTCTTTCGGCTATCTAGAATTTAGAATACTGATAGTCTGCGGAAGCTTCGACCATTGGTTGAATTCAACGGGGTGATGATGTACAAAATCACACGAAGCTGCCTCGCAATCACCGCTTACTGCAACCTTCTCCAGATACGACGAAATGATAAAAAAATCAAATCAAGACGAAGAAGCCTCTTCCTGTTTTTCATCAGTTGTCAGCAAGCTGACAACTTTGGGTATCCTGCCCCAGATGATCAGAATTATCAAGCTGGCACGAAGTGGCGAAGCTGACAAGACGGTTTGGAAGTAGAGTGAGCCGTTGACGGAGAAGATACCCCAGGTACCGTAGAGAAGCAGGAGGGCAATGAGTAGATGTGTCATTGATTTCAGCGAGAAGAGTGATGCAGGCAAAAGCGGATCCGAGACAACACTCCGTTCGACATACCACGTCCCGGTAAGGAACAACAATGCCTAGGACAAAAGTGGCCAGGATATATGGCGTTTTCCATCCCAAGAGAGCATGGGTGGATTGCGTGATCGCGAATATCGTAAGAACGAGTCTGCCAAAGATGTCAACGGCACCGAGATAGTCCGTTTTCACTCCCTTTCGGGAGTCGCTTGTCAAAGCCGAGTATGGCATAGAACATATTGACGTAGTGAGCGTTACCGCTGCAAGTGCAGCGCCGATCCAAAAGTAGTAATCCCAGTGTGAGAATTGACCCAGGAGCCCTGCAATGGAACTGCCACCAAAGAAGCCCAGAACGCCGGCTGTGTCATAGATTGCAGACGAGATTTTTACGAGGCCCGGGCCGGTAAAGCGAGCCTATAATCATGACTCCCGTTGGCAGAAAGGCAGCCGCTCCAAGGCCCTGGAGTGCTCGACAGATGTGTAACATGATAGGCGATGACATGCTTCAATAAAGGAAACGAGTTTTTGTATTGGAAATGACCAGATCTTGGTCTGTTCCTGTATAGATTGATCCAACCTTAACAGTGTGGGGCCAGAGGGCCGTTATTATTCGTTCAACTCTTGAAAGACGCTCCATTATAAACTTCCAAATAAGGCTGCCAAGTCACTAGTCACCTAGAAACTAAATAAACACCTGGAAGGAGAGTTGTCATTCGCACACTCACGCTCCACAAACCGATGTAGAGGTAGTGCGCTCAGTTGTTCGATGTAGTTCCAAGGCGACTGTCTGGTTTATAAACAAGGCGTGTAGATAAAAAAAAAGGTCTTTGTTAGAATTCCCCTGAGCATCAAGTTACACTTCACGCTTACTGCTCTTCGGCCTTGAAAACGAGTGCAATTTGCATCCATTGAGCTGAGGATCTATACAATTTGCCAGCGAAAGATTCTGATTCCAAAAAGCGTATACCCCTAGCATAACGGTAGGGGCTTTTTTTTCCCCTCGTTGTCAAGATTGAATTAGTCGTCTTGCAATTCCACTGTTGCTCTACTGACCTTGGAATTACAGACAATGCCACCAATCATCCATTGCGTTCGTCATGGGCAAGGGTTTCACAATCTGGGTGGCGGTTGCTATACTATTCCTGACCCTCGCTTGACACCAACGGGGGAAAGTCAATGTGAATCGCTTCGTAAAGACGCCTTCTTTGACCAGTCGAAAATTTCACTTATCGCCTCTTCACCGATGTGCCGAACACTTCAAACTGCATCTCTGGTTTTCAAGTCAGCGCTGACGTCGAATCACAAATCCCAAAGAATTATCGCCCTCCCTGATGCTCAGGAAACTACAAGTGACCCAAGCGACGTTGGCTCGGACCCAGACATCCTACAACTCATCGTGGAGAAGGAGAAATGGCCTATGGACCTTTCTTTGGTGCACGATGGCTGGAACCAAAAGAAGGCTAGAAGTCGCTATAGTCCGAGCAACGATGCAATCAAAGTCCGAGCCCGTGATGCTCGACTGTTTTTGCGCACGAAACTACGGGAACTGGTTGCAAATGGGGACGACGATGTCGAAATTGTTCTCGTCACACACGGTGGATTTCTGCATTATTTTACGAACGATTGGGAAGATTCATATCGCCAACCAGGTACTGGATGGTACAACTGTGAGACACGTTCTTATGTGTTCGAAAGCGATTTTAGGTCCAATCACGATGAAGAGGCCTGGTTGATGGAAACAAGAGAAAGTCGGAGGAGGCGTGGCAAAGATCATCCTATGTATGGAAGGATGAATCAGGTCAAGCTTTTCCATACAGCGATGGAGTGTTGGGAGGGCCAAGGGCTGCAACGACCAGACCAAGTAGATCTGGATTTGGAGGTTGAGGCGTGATTTGAAGAATGTGTACTCGAGGCTACAATATGCACAAGACGAATATGCCTGCGAGCGCTCATGGGCAGAAAAACTCAATAGAAAGTCCCACGCAGGTTATGTTCATGCATTTTTCTCTGGCGGCGTTGTATATAGATGGGAAGTTTATTGTATAGCTTCACCGCTGCGCCTAGAGATTGGATCTGGCCATCCTTTATTTACTCGAGGGTTAATAGTATCTTCCCCTCTCGATTAGCCTTCCTTAGCCAGGATTCAGATCATTTCGATGGCATACTTGCTGGTTGACGAGGAATAGAGACAGAAACGCGATTTTGGATAGGTGACCGGTTGAACTAAGATTTAGTGACATTGACTTAAACTGCCAAATAGGGCCCAACTTGTAGGCAAAATAGACGTTTTGTGTGATTCCATTGGTTTTGCCAGATGTCCGCTGGACCCTCATTTCTGACAAATGTGGAAGCTTACGTCTTGGCTTCCTTCCTAGGAATAGCGTGATCTGTGATCGATACCCATATGTAAGTGCAAAAGACTCAGACTCTCACTTTGATTTACGACCATTCAAAGTCTTCTGGAATTCAATGAGCGTGAAAACGGCTGCTGCGAACTGTGCCGATGGCCCATGTTGGACCTGTCGTCGCCGACGCCTCAAGTGTGACCGAGCACTTCCGATCTGTGGTAAGTGCACATGTTCGCAGCAACCCTGCCTAGGATACAGCAAAGACAAGCCTCTGCGATGGACAGATAGTGTGGCAACCCGCGGCAAGTTGACGGGCAAGAAGGTTCCACATCAAGAGCAACATCTCCCAATCAGCAGGGTCCTGGATGATCCTTGCTTGCAGGATTTGTCTCCGTCAATGCGAGGCTATATTACTTATTGTAAGTGGAGTTCCCGAGCTAATCAAGTACTGGCTGATTGAAGATCAGTTGAGCAACAGTGTTGCCAAGAATGCGTGCTGTATGATTTCGAGCGGGAAAATCCGTTCAAGAGGTTCATTCGATTGATTCCATCATGTCCGGGATTATGCTACGCGGTGGTGTCAGTTGCGGCTCTACACCAGGCCTTTCGAATCGCATCAGCTCAAAGCAATGAAAAGACCATCGCATACAAGTCGGATCTAAATAAAGTACATTTATCACAATGGGTTGAGCAGGTGCACTATATGTATCAGCTGCCGGCATATCATGATGCTCTTTACCACAAACAGCGCACGCTCAGCTTCTTGAGAAGCGAAGCAAATGCGGGATGCTTCAGTAATCCGGATGGTGTAATTGCATCTATGATAATGTCCTTATGGTTTGAACTCATGGACTCTGGACGAGATACTTGGAGATACCATCTTCATGGACTGAGAGAAGTGATCCCAAAACGCGGCTTATCCCTCGTGCTCTTCAAGGATAAAGAATTGGCCGCTGACTTGCCTCAAATGAGCGAATACTTCGACACGAGCTACGCGATGTAAGTAGGTCCCAGCCCCATGCAGTAATGGTCACTAATTCGACGTTACAGCTTTCAAATCTTAGGGTCGACATTTGTGCAGGCCAAACAGCCTTATGAGCCGCTCTTCTCGATGTCCCCTACTCTCGATATCTTGAAGAGTTCTGAGTCCCAGACGTGGATTGGGTGCCCTGCAACCCTTCTCTACGTGCTTTCTCTCGTGAATGCGACTGCTTCGAGATCTTACGAAGTGTCACCAGATGGGATTGACAACATTTTCTTCCATCTGCGGAACTTTTCTCCAATGAAGTGGGCGGTTGCAGGTGTAGAAGTTAACTACATGAAACCAAGATATCAACTTGCCTGTGTCTGGCAAGTAGCGGTCGAGATATATGCGCTGCAGGTTCTTCCAGTCTCTTTCGAAAGCTACGTTATCAACGAAGGGAGAATCAGAAATTCACTGCATTCAATTCTTCACCATCTTCAATCTATAGACCCCGCCGATGTCCATCTCAAAGGCATCTTTTGGCCTGCATTTGTCATTGGGGCCGAGGCACAAACAATGTCTCAAAGGGTACTCATTACTGATGTGTTTGAACATCTATGGACACTATGGCGATGTGGCAATGTGATGAATGCCTTTAAGGTGCTTGAGAAGATTTGGGCTCGTCGAGCTATGGAAGGGTCCTCTCGACGATGGATCGAATATGTATATGAGTGGGGTGAAGATTGGATGTTCATATAGCCACTTTATCTCTTGATTTTCTAGCGGGCTTGACGAGACATTATAGATGAGGTCGAAATCCGATATAGTTACGGGAACAAAGTATCTTTCTAGCTCGTTCATCTGTTGATTACGTCTACCTTCTGTCAGCATGCACTTACTCTAACAAATAGTTTATGGTCTCAATAATTGAGACCCACATTGACTCGGCGCTTGATTTTGAACCAACCAGGGCTCCGTCTCTTGGTCTCCCCTTTGTTTGATGAGCCTGGGGCTCATCCAAAATCAACTATGCAGACATATATGCTACGGTCTAGTAGGCAGGAAGCCATTGTTCTCCCTCACCACGTGGTTGTATGTGTAGTTAAATTTCAAAGCTTGAAATGTTGTGGAAGCTAATATGATAAACTGACTAGGGTTATTTGAAGGACCCCTCTACCGAGCACCGGTAATGTTATTGCCAATCACGCCGACCTAGAGAAATCTCAAGGTTTCCAAGTGTTTCACATACTGCGAAACGAAAACATGCCGGGATTTGCAAATTTGTTGTCAACGAATTTATCATATCATATGTAATAAAGCCATATCACAGAGGTTACTTTAACCTTGGGGTATTTGATACTACATCTTATCGGAGACCCGACTCCCTCGCAATGTCGTCGTCTGTAAAACCTTCTTTCACAGTCGACAAGTACGTTTCAAATCTGCCGGCTACTTCGATGACATGCTTCAAGTGCGCATGAGACACTTTCTTGCCTTTGAATTTGGCTAACTGACGAGCAGTCGTGATAGCGTTGCGGATCTCGCGCCCATTCATGTTCTTCTCAGCCAGCTCCGCTACGTAGCATTCAATGTCATCGAAGTCGATACTCGGGTGATCGAGCCTCTTCAGGCGATTGATGAGATTTCGCCAGATCTTGAGACGCTGGGACTGGCTGAGATTCGGGTAGTGCAGCGAGAGCTGGATGCGGGATTTAAAGGCCTCGTCGAAGGTGCCCACGCGGTTAGACGTCAGGATTAGAATTCCATCGTAGTATTCAAGCACGCGCAAAAAGACAGTCACGAGCGCATTGCGCTTCAAGTCCGACAGGGTGCGCTCTTGCAGGAAAACGTCCGCCTCGTCCAGCAGCACGACGCAACCCCAGATCTTGCCCAGATGGAGCGCGGACTCGAGGTACTGTTCGACCGCTTCGGGATGCGTGCCGATGTCACCGCAGGTTACTCTGTAGAGCGGTTTTTCGGCCAATTCGGCGACGCTTTCCGCGGTGAAGGTCTTTCCCGTTCCGGGACCCCCGTGCAGGAGGATTGTGAGGCCTTTGCCTTTGTCGTCGATCATGTCTGTTCCCTTCTCGGCTTCGAGCCGGTTGGTGACCAGGGCTTGAACGAGATCTTTGGTCTCCTCCTCGACGACGAGACTTTCAAACGCTTGCTTGTTCCACTCGACCTTCCGGATTAGATCGACTTCCAAATTAACTGCTCACTGTCAGCAGGGGAACCGTGAAACAGGGTGCGTGGGCGCTTTACCCCACTTCTTTCGACGGAGATTGAATCCAATGATAGTGGACGGGAAGAGAAACAGCTCTGGGGCCGATGGTGGCTCATCAACGTTCATCCGCTCAGGTAGAATCTCATCGCGTTTCTTCAGTAGTGTCTTCGATTCAGAAGGATGAAGCTGTTTGTATGTTGAAAAATCGATCATGAACCTCTCATTGTTCTAAAGACTGGTCATTAAATGCCGGTTCTGAAATGAAAGGGTCTACTCACGTTAGTCATTGATTCAATATCATTGCTGCTCGTGCAAGAAACTAATTTCGTCTTTCGACAATCCCAATGCGTCTGTCCCCTCTGCTCAAGTCTCAGCTGGGTGTCTTGACTGGCGTATCGCAAGGGGAAGACACTCAAGTCTCTCAGTGCGACCTCTTCGGTGGGGTCTTCAACATTGATCTCAATAGTCAAAACCGTAGACGTGCGGTAGAATGATCCATCAAAGTCGTATGACCAGGCATTCACTTGCCAAACGTTCTGGTTTTCTATTCCGTGTTCGGTTTTGCTACTCTTTTTCATGGCGGTGTTTTGCTCAGCCCATGATTTGGCCATGTATGCTTGTAAGTGTGTCTTTTTCGAAGACACAAGCACGTCGCCCGGCTTTGCAAGGTATTTCATGGATGAAGAGGAGATAACGCCTCTAGAAAGCTGGTCGTCCACATGCGTGTATTCATTCTCATAGTTGGAGGTTATCCAATGAGCAAATAGTTCCATCAGACGCCTATAACGAGTAGACAGCCGCTTCAAGATAGATTCATGCGAGGCTCGACAGCAATACCAGAACAGATAAGGAGCCGAAATTTCCTTTCTAGCATCAAACCGTGGAAACAGCTCTTTGAAATTCGGTTGCTCTTCCAAATACGTATCGAGAGCTTCTCTCATGTAATCGGAGACGAACAAAATGGTTTCGGCTTCAGGCTCAGGTACTGGCCACATATCTGCTTCCTGGTCTTGCTCTTTCGGCGGATCATCTACCGACTCGGAGGCATAAGTCTTGAAAACTGCAAAAGCAAGAGCCCTGCTCCTTTTTAAGTACTCTTCCGCCTTCATGGAAAGAGGGTCTTCTTTCAAGGTATACCGGGTTTTTCCCGATGACGTATTCCGCGTCCATGTAGGCGGCCTCAGGAAGACTCTGTCATTTCCTTTGAAACGATAGAGCACCTGAAAGAACGGCGGCCCGCGATGGGTTGAATCGGGGTCAACGAATCTTCTCAGTAATATGTTCTCTTGCTCCAAGGTCTGAATACGATCCATGAGCTGCTCATATTGACCCAGGTCTCTGTCATATTGGGTATGAGGAGCGATTGCACTTCCAAGATCGTGATGCCCAATGTCGCGGGGATTAGGCATAGTCGAATGACTTTCACTCTCAGAGGGGGGAGTTGAGGCCACAAGGTGCAGATTTGAGTCAGGAAGAACTCCCTCTGCCCTCATCTGGGCATCGTGTTCTTCACGGGTCCTCATTAATCTCCTCTTATTTTGTTGTTCAAGAAGCATCAACTGCGCTTGATAGTCTTCTTGGTCGTGGTTGTCGCGGATGGCATCTTTCCGTTTATTTTTAGCTGGTCGACCATTACCACTAAGGGCTAACAGCTGCGTCTGGCTATAGTCACTCCCAGACGTTCTATCTTGCGATAACGTGGTGCGATTTAACAGGAACTGACTGTTGTTCCTGTCCTTGTCCATGTCCTGAGGCTCAAAAGGCTTGGACGCAGATATAGTGAGCTTCTTGGGGGTCTTTATGAATTGGCAGTGTTTTTTTTTCTTTCCCCTTCTCTTTTCTTTGGCCCGTTCTCCTGGTATTTTTCAGCTTTGCTCCCTTCGTCGCCCTCGTCCAACACTTTTCCGATCTCGCTTCCGCTTTAGCTTTCGCTGTTCTTTCCGCTTTCCTCGATCGGACCCTCGCTCACTGCGTTTTCAAATTTGCTAGATGAGAGGCGACGGTTGAGTCTTTGAAGATTGGTCCTGCTCGCCTGATGAAGACTTGAGCGTGTCTGTAAAAGCCGTGGCGTGGGTCCTGGAGCGCGTCCTTCAGTCTCGAAATTCTCCACACTGGACATGTCTACCGAGAACTTACCAGAATAGCTGATATGAGTAGAGTGACCTAAGAGTGAGAAGAGTCAAATAAATGAGATATCTCGTGCGATGTTTTGCGTTCAATAAGAGATGTTGGTATTTACAGACAAATTTATTTACATTGGAAGCTCAAGCTACTCTCGAGATACAGCCAGCGGGGAAATTTGCACTAGCACAGCCTTGGACAGGGATGTAGATCCTATTCTTCGTCACTTTCTGTCTGTTGGACACCAACGCGTGTTCTTTGGCTGCGTGCTCGACCTTTGACTCCGCCGCATCCACGACGTATCGCGGTCGTTTTGGATCCTTATTCGAAGGAGCTCTGGTGTCTCTCACTGGCATGTTTGGAAAGGTCCTGTTACTAGAACATTGGTAATTTTCAGCTGGAGGCTGAATTACTACCCTCGCAGAATAAGATTGCCTGCCAGCCTTGCCAAAGGCTTGCGCAGAGAGCCTCGCGCACAGCAAATGGGACTGAACTGTGGATGCGATAGGCATCTACGTCCGGAATTGAGCTTCGAGACGCCACGCACCCAACTCTCTTGATTACGGTGATTGGTATAGCAAATTTCTAGGAACAATGCCAGCCGAACTATCGATCAATACGCGCGATGTTCGAAACCTCATCAATGGGGATGTCAAGGGAGATCAAATCCGACGAGACAAGGTTGCGGGAAACAAGGTTGCGGGGAACTCCGGCATGGCGGCAATGACGATATTGTGCGCGCCCATGCGGCCGAGAATATAGCTGTTTTGGTCACGGTTGTAAGGGAGACTGGGGGAATACTGCCTAGCATTGCCTCCAGCGGTGCTTGCTCGAGGCCCACGGGACAGATCAAGGCGACTCTCTAGTCATTGTGAGTGAAGGAAAGAGACGGAGCCTTCATTTTATGACAGAGCGTGAAGAGCGCCGAGTGACTGACGTTTCTCTGTCAGTAGGACTGGGAGGTATTAATTTTGAGTAGGAGTGTGATTGCAAACTATAGAGATTCCATCAACATCTGTCGAAGCAATGATAGTGGTCTGGGCCAAGGAACTATCCCCAGTTCACTTGCACAGCCCCGCGCAAGGCTACGTGTCACGGTGTCAGGGATCCCCACCTCATCTCTAGGTGAGCTTCTTGAAACAACACAACAAGTCTAGGATTAAAATATTAAGCCACCAGCTTAGTATGTTTATTTCTCATCTGCTCTTAGATTCAGCGTAAGGTTTATGAACCCCGAGTGTAGGAACTGGCCATGAACAGACAGGAGGATATCCTCAATATTATACCAGATGGCAAACGAGATAAAAAAAGGTTAAAAGATTTTGTGTTGTTGATAAACAGTATCAAGGTTAAAAAAGTTTATTCTAGGTTATTCAAATCTAAATAAATATAGGCAATAACTAGTTCTATACTTCTTGTATAATGACTTTACTCGTAGTGAAGTTTGTCGTGAAGAGTGCTCCTGTATCACGTGAGTGAATGAGCCCTTGATACCATGTATAAATCTAGACAGTCTTCCTGTCTACTATAGTATACATAACGTGAAATACTGGACATTTGTGAATATGAGAATGATATCTTATTTCATGCTACTGGTTCTTTAACCGGGATTATAATACTTCTACGGTGTTGATTATCTTTATTTATTAGCTACAATGTGCTGATCAATAGTGTAGGCAGACTTCAAGTTAATGGACTCATGAACAGCCAGCCTGAGAGAAAGTGAACCCAGCTACACAGAGAGAAAAAAAACTAGGAAGATTATCATCGTCGTAGTAACTAGCACCAGCACCTATTCTCAGCGTCTTTTTCCAGCGTCACGAAAAACGACAGAGAAACGGAGCTAGGTAAGAAACACGACGACCACGACAACCACGACAACACGAAAACAATAACGACAAAGTTCACACGCAGCGTGTTTTCTGTGTCTCTTTTCTTTCATTTCACGTTAATTTCTTTCCACTTCCTCTTTCATCCCCTCTCTTCCACCTCACCTTAACAATCATCATCATCGTTTTTTCTCATCTCACCAACTCTCTGGTCTGTAGGCAAATGTCTACCAACCAAAAGAAGAATATCTCTGAAAAGTCACACTCTCCAAGCCCTCAGCCTGTTCCGGAAAAGAAAAGGCCCCATTCGCTCTGCTCCGCTGAGCTGCCATCGTCAACCATCCGATTTGACGACTTCTTCGGCGTAGACAGGATGGTGCTCGAACACCCGAGCGCTCGTTGCTCAATGAGAAGGATCTTCTCGGAAGGTCCCAGTCAGCCTATGATGCCCCTGCCTCAAACAGATGGGGCCTCTGATCGCCGTAAGCTCAAGAGAAATAAGAAGCAGAAGAAAAAAGCCAAGAATAAGACTAAGAACAACAACGATGACTGCCGCAGTGAGCGGTCCCAGAGCACCATCGACCACGATCTGCCGGCGGATACTGAGAACGCGGGTGGCGTCCAAGTGAGGGACTCTGCTGCCGAAGTGGTTGGTCTCTCTGGAGCTTCTGAGCAGTTGACTTCTGTTTGTTCGGAGCCGACAAGTGCCGTGGCGTCAAGCGTGCTGAGAGCTAACGGAGGATTGACTCCTGCCTTGCCTGTGTCTCTGTCGCCCCTCACTCCTAGCGCGGGGACTCGTCCTGTGTCAATTAAGGTTCTTGGGCCTGCTGGAAATAACGCGTACGTATGGTCTTGCTATCTTTGATTTATTCTCTAACAAAATTCGGTAGCAGTTTTACCCCTAGCGCAGTTGGCGGAGGGCCAGGGCTGCTGGACTCCTCGTTTCTAGACCTGCACGAGCAGAGAAAGCCTGCAGAATCGTCAAACACTCAGAAGCAGCCCCATCTCACAAGCTCTATTGACCCACCAACAGGCCCTGTCCGCTCCATTGCCAGTCAGACCGAAGTGCGCGTAAACTGCGATGCGGATAAAAATGGTAACATTCCGACCCCGCCAGTCACGTCCATGGTCCACAGTGGCAACCTTGTATGCCCGGTTCATAAAAAGCCTCTGTGCCAGTACAATCCAAAATGCTGTGTCCACAAGTCAAGGAAAACTGATTGCAGCTGCCCACCCAAGTCCTCATGCTGCTGCATGCACCACTTGGGCGATTGTTGCTTTTGTGTTTTCGTTCTAGAGGGGAATAGATGGGACGCAAGCGAATTCGAAAAGAGCAATGTTCGACGAAGGGACACTGGAAGGAAGGGCAATGATATAATGGCCGACAATAATACACCTGACCATCCAGAGTCCTCCCAGATGGTAGAAGAACACAAACGCTCAAGTGCGTCGAATGGAAACAAAGCTTCAGAGGCGGATGAAAGTCCAAAAGAGCACAAAAACTTCAATCCAAAAACCACCATGGACAATGCACTGTCTCCACGCGAGGCCAACAAATCCTGGGATGAGATGGTGGCCGAAGAAGAGGAAGAGCGTATGGCGTCTAGGTACCACATCGTTGAACTAATGAAGCCCATCAAGCCCGAAGAAACCGTGGCGGAGAAGGCCGCTTTAGGGTTTGTTAATACAGCGGAAGAGGCCGGACCGAATAAGACCACTGAACGAGGGGAGGTCCTTACCCCAGACGAGGACACTGATGAAGACGAAACCATCAAACCTGCAAATAGTGTCGCACCTGAAGAAGCTATGCCATTTGGAAAGACCGTACATCTAGGAACAAGCAACGAGCCTGGTGAGGCTATCAAGTCAGGTCAATTCATGATAACAGAAGAAAAACTCGAAGCTGGCGAAATTTTTGAGTTGAACGGAACAGCTGGATCAAAAAAATTGACCTCCGAGATTAAAACTCACCCCCAGAAGGTGGAGGAAGAAAGACATTCTGAGAGTATTGAGGAAGGGGAGAAGTCCAGGTCATGGGAGCATGTAGGCTCGACAGGGGATGCTGCACCTAAGACTGCGTCCGCGTCACTGGCAGAGGCCAACGAAATAGGAAAGAACCAGACCACCACAGGCCAAACAAACGCAGGTAAGCGTTCAACGGGCAACGATTCCTTCTTCTCTCCACAACACTCACACGGGGTGCCAGTGTCGGGAGATTACACAAAATTGGCAAATAACCCTTCAAAACAAGACACAAAACCAGACATGATGGATGTCGTTGCATCTCTAGACGCCACCATTCAAGAGAAAAAGAAAGAACTCCTTGACGCCATGACCTCCCTCGCGAACCATTTGATAGAATC